TTTCTTGTATTAAGTGTGTGAACATCACTGTTTTTAAGAAACAAATTAATATTTTTTCTTACTAGTAATAAATTTTCGTAAATGTATTGTGATGCGACCGCCATTATACCAAATTCTTTAAACCTGTCTCTTAAGGAATCCTTAACTTTAAGATTATAAATTGATCGAATAGCTCTCTTCTGCAGCACAAAAATAGTTTGAATGTCGGAAAAAATATTAAGAAACAGTTCCTCCAATGGAAAACGGCATGTAGCTCAGTTGATAACCATGTGGCAGTTGATTTTTCGAATTTCTTATCAAATCTTCAGACATTTATTTATCTGATTGGTCGTTACTTTGGCTATGTTAATTCAAGCTCACAATGTTCCAATTTTAATTCGTTTTTCTAAGATCTAAAGTAACTTTAATAAATAGCAATAGTCTAATAGGTAATTGCAAGACTTGCAAGACTCTTGCTGCAAGACCAAGACCAAGACTGGGAGCGCAAGACCAAGACCAGCTGTATTGGCGCAAGACCAAGACCAAGACTGGCTAAGTCTCGTCTTGTTCTTGCATTTGGGCAACACTAATTTAGACTATCCGGTTGGCCGAAAACCGCAATACGTGGAGGGAGCTGGTACACCAGGTGCCCTCATGCTGTCGCGAACCTCAGTCATGAGGTTACGAGGAAGAAGAAGAAGAAGAATTTATTAAAAATCATGTTTTTTTTATTATAAAATCAAATAGGTTATTTTCTACGTGCTTACGAGTTTTTGTTTACTACCGGTTGACGTCATAGCATAGATAATCTATAGACTAAAATGGCCGACAGCGTTTTTGTATGTCCATGAAAAGTCTACCTATTTTAAAATTAAAGATTTGTAGCTTTCTAGGTCTCAAAAAAATACAATACATTTTTTTAGGTCTAATAGAACATTTTTTAACCATTTAAAACCTTTTTCCAAAAAGGGTCAACTAGCCTATTTCATTGTTTAATGTATATTTCGTAAACGATATTAAGTAATTAATATTTTTGTACGGGGCTGTTGTATTTTACTGTTTATAACTTGTTCGTACTATTTTTATGCACACGATTTTTAAGTTTCTCAAGGAACTGAAACTCTACGTTCTATAAAATCAACTGTTATTATAAGCGTCATCATAATCACTACTGTGTGGTATTAGTTCCCACTTCCAAATTTTATCATATTTTATGATTAGCTTTTAAGCAAATTAATAGCGCTAATAACAATAATAATAGTGAAAATTAAGCAAAATTAATTTCTCGAAGTAGACAGGACTGAAAAGGTCACATATTATTATTTATTTATTTTTTTTCATTTTGGTCACATTCATACTTTGAAGAGCACAAATCGATAGAAATTATAAAGAACTAGGGGCCGCCCGCGACTTTATCCGCGTTAACTTTAGTTTTTTTAGAAATCCCACAGTAAAATTGTCATTATTCCGGGAATTAAAATGCTTCAATCCAAGTCATAAACTATATGCGTACTAAATTTCATCCAAATCCGTTCACTAGTTCTGCATGATTAAGTAAAGCCGGCCTCCAGCGCGTGTTTTACCCTACACAACAAAAACATATTAACATTTCACAAAATCGTCTACACGTAACTTTGTTTCACTACACATGTTTGTTTGCATCAACAAAATTTTTGCTTGCCGAGCCCAATGGAAAACATGTACAGAAATCATCCCAGCGTGGCGTGGGTCGAGGTATTGTTTCATCGGGCATTTTTTTGAAAACTCGCTAGCGAGGGCTGCGTCCCAAACCTACGCTCAGAATGCAACTTTTCACTCTGACGTTTCAATTTTGACATAAATCGGATAAAAGTCATCGAAATTGACATTTGTTCTATTTACGATTGAGGTTTGGAAGGCGTCCCCGTGTATTTTGTGTACGACAGCCACGTGAGCAGTAGACGGCGTGTGTAGAGAAACATGTTTCAGAAACAGTATCGTGTATGTGATTTGTTGAATGTTGTTAAAAAACTTTTGCTGGAGACCAGACTTTACAAACACACAAACATACAAAACTTTCACCTTCATAATATTTGTAGGATAATAGGATTAGACATGATCATCTGGTCAGTACATTAATAAGAATGATATGTAAAATCTATACTAATATTATAATTTATGTTAAGAGTGGTATAAAGCGGATTTACCGCTCGAATTGGAGCGCCCGTCTGGGGAAGTAACTTCCACCTTACCAGAAGACTACCTTTAAAATAACACTACCTTTTTGGTGATGCTGTGTTTCAGTTTCAGTGGGATTGGGTCAGTGTAGGCAACAGTACGAGTGATATTTTTGGTATCGCAAGGTTCTATCTATACTCTATGGTGGTTGCTTACCATCGAGCAGGCCATACGCTTGTGCGCGACCCTTTTCACATAAAAAGTCTGTAACTCCTTCACTCTTAAACCGCTGAACCGATTTAGATGACATTTGGTACACAGATATTTTGAGTCCCGGGGATGGACATGGAATAGTTTTAATCCTAGAAATAATTTATTAAAGGGATGAAAAGAGTGTGGAAATTTGCATTGGAAACCAATTAAACCACACCGCAGACTAAGTCGCGGGTACCCGCTAAAATTAAACATTTAACAAAGCAAACATATTAAAAAAAATGTTAACATTTTTTTCTAGATTTATAAAACAACTGGTTGGTGGGAAAAAAATGATTTCCCATATAGCCGATTCACAACGGAATGGCAGTGGCCGGCGGCGACTCAGCGAGTAGAGATGGGCGTTTTTAGATATTTCTGATATCGATGCGCATCATTATTCTAAAAACGCCCACCTCGTGAAATGCGGATTCGCATTAGATGCATGTTTTGTGTGGGTGTTTCCCTTAGATTAATGAATCATGACTTGAAAATGCAAACGAAACCATATGTTTATTTTCGGCATAGTAACTCAAAATATTGAATGTTGGCAAAATTATTACCTGAAAAGTTGCACTCAGAGCGTTGGTTTTGAACGCAGACCAGTCTCACAAACTTTTATGTGCCAGTGGCAAAAATTTGAACTACAATTTATCCATAGCATTTTGACATATTTGTTCACCGCTAGCGACATCTCCACCAGCACAGATAAGTTTGAGGCACTGTAGTTATAGTAACGTTGACAAAAACTAGATGGCATCGGCATCCGATAACGGTAACAAGTGGCATCGGATTCGCGCATCCAAACCTGGTATCGTTATTGCGCATCGTTTTTCTAAAAACGACCACCCCTAGCAGCGAGCACTTTCACGCTGAAAGCAGTGTGAAATAATTTAAAAATGTATCTACCTACTTAGAAGACCTACTGGTCACTGGTCGCTGATTAAAGTTTCTCGGAGTTGCAAGAGCGGGCGGCACCGTGACTTATTAGAGCTTTTCAAGCGATATAGGTCCTTTAGGAATGTAGATAAAGTTTAATATTTAAATCTAAAGAAAAGTTAACTAAAAAACATACCAAGCGGACCAGGCAGCAGGCGGGACTCGAACCAGCACCCTTCGCTATCCGGGCGAATTCACTAACCATTATGCTACCGCGGCCTTTTTTTCTTTTAATTTAACGCAGGCAAAACATCTGTTTACATACGACGGCGCCTTTAATAGGCAAACCCCCGAACGGACCTCACACCTGGCTCCCGCAAGCTTTACGGGCAGTGGCTGCCCACTGAGGACCCCTTTACGGCATAATATCCGCTAAAAACCCCTGCGAATACCCTCTAAGCTGCTTAGTGCGAAGCCACGGGATCCCCGTTTAGGGATTCTTCCGTGTTTCCGCACCTAGCAGTCTAGCAGCCTCCCGGACTAGCCGGGACTTCACGGCAGGGGTCTCCTGGGGTATCGCGGGGACCCCGCAGACGTGCGCGGGTAGGCGCTGGCAGCTAAGAGTGCGGCCTAGTGCCCACCACACTGCTCCCCGTCCTCTGCGGGGGGACTGCCTGGGCGTGCTCATCGCAGTTCCTCCCGCCGCTCCCTCTTGTAGGACAGAACTACATGAGGTGCCCTGACGGCAGTGTCGAAATTTCTGTAGCCTTAGGCTGCAAGGAAGCGCCATCTCTTCGCATTGTAGGTAACCTACCCTAACCATTTTTTGTAGGAAACTTTTCTTTAGATTTAAACATCTAGCAGTTAAATGCTTAAAAAATTAAAGCACAAGTTCAATATTATTTCACACTGCTTTCAGCTTGGAAGTGCACGTTGCGTCGCTGCCAGCTCTACCCCATTCCGGTGTGAATCTTCCCATAGAATGTTCCAATCCCCTTTTCACCCCCTGATAGGTTGATTTCAAAGATAAAAACTAACCTATGTACTTACCCGAGACTCTAACTATCTTTATACCTTCCATACAAATCGGTTCAGTGGTTTAAGTGTTAATAGGTAACAGACAGACACACTTTCGTATATAGGGTGAAATTGAATGTTTTAATGAAACTTCGTGAGATTGTTAGGTTACATGTATAGAGTATGCCTGATTTTTTTCGGATTTTTATGAAGTACACGTATTTATTTATAATTTGTGTATTTTTATGTCCTTTCCTCCTTTTGAGTAGTTATTCATTTTAAACAAACATACTTACATATACAGTGAAAAACAACTAATAAATAAGCACTTTTAAAAAACGGAAAAACAGTAAAATTCCACCGCGGGTCAACGACCGACCGCGCCCGCCAGCCGTTGAGTGAATAGGTACCTACACAGAGCTCAGCTGACTCCTTTGATTCCACACAATACAATAAAATCGTCTTAGATGCCTTTATTGAAATTGAAATAATAAGCACAAATGTCATGTTGTCTTAAGCAGAGAAAAACTTTAAAAGTTAATAATAAATTCAACGGCGGGAGCGGTCATTGCTCCCGGCCGCTGGTCTTCTGTTTTTACGTTTTTTTTAGTAGTGCTTATTAGTTGTTTTTTACTTACTCTGTATGCGTGTTTAAAAAGAATAATTATTTAGTACCCAAAAGGAGGAAAGGACTTAATATATATGAGTATATTTACCTGTGTAGCCAATGTAGAGAAGAGTTGGTATAAATTCAGTTATTTCCAGCTTAGTGAGGAAATAAAATATTGAATATATCAGAATGTATACGGCTGATCCGCCAGACACAATAAAGCTTTTCCACCACCAGTGATAGTCCTGAAATAAAATTTGTTTAAGCATATAATTTTTATAAGAGTAATAAGAAAGAATAGAAATGTTTATAATCAAGTTGTAATGTAATATACTACGAATATTATTTTAAATATGAAGGATTGGGGAGGGAGTCCTTTGTTGCCTTGTGCAACCCCCCTCCCCTCCATTTATATCTGGATATCATATTTAGTAATACTAAAGATTATGTTGAAAAAAAAACAATAAAAAAATTATTACCTCACCACAAAGTTGAAAATATACCATCACAATGGAAATTTGTGAGACTGATATCATCAAAATGCAAAACACGAGAAATAGGAATCCAAATAAGTAATAGAATTGGTTTTCCCATAATGCATTAAATATGAAGAACAATTCGATGAAAACAGCTCCAAATGGAAGAATACCGGCCATCAATATACTGAAAAAAAAATTAGGTACCAGAATTTAGTTAAACTTGGTTACCTTAAGATTTGAGAGATTAAAGTTAGGTCAAATCGGATTTCCCGCAAGGATTTGAATTCAGATCTGGTAAAGGAACCTCTACTTTTAAAAACTTTGTGGTGTTTCTTTCAGTGAGGTTGCCAAAACTCACAAGGAATAAGAAAATTAGCATCCGACCGTCAGGTAAGTGGCTGAGAATGCACATTTGTCTGCCGCGATAGCTAAATTCGCAACAGGACTTATTGTAACACGCCAAAACTCAAAGGAGTAAGAAAAATGGTTTCAGACCGGTAGATGAGTAGCTGGAGCTGCTCATTTGTCTATCGAGTTAGCTAAATTCGCAACAGGATTTCTTCACACCCAAGATCGGTCCGCATTTGAGCGGCGTGGCGCTGCGCGGCACATAGCATCTAATATTCTTTAGTCATTTTGTATGTTGTATGTCGCATTACAGCGGCGCTGCAGAGAGCGTCGCTGCGCGTCACAGTATAGTTGCCTCCGGAAGAATATTTTGACGCGCTGTGATGTAACGCGCTGTGCAGCGACACTCAGTGCGATTTAGCAGTCGGCGCGTCAAGTCAATCTATCATGTGTTCATTGTGGAAGCATGTGCATCGTATTCCTAAAATGGAGCTCAATGAAGTAAATATGAAATCATGCAGAGTCATTAAGTAAGCGATGAAGCAAATAGTGGTATTCTCCTTCTTTATATGGGCAAGACGAATGCAATCCATTTCTGATTAATGAGTTCTTCTTTTGCACATAACAAAGAAATAACTAAGTACCAAATCCACATCACTATCATAGTCATCTTTCTATATTGCTTTGCCGCGAATGGGCAAAACAATGACGCGAGCTTTTCCAGTTAAAGTGCTATAGATGCTATGAAATGACATGCAGCGCAGTGCCGTTAAAATGCGATCCGACCTTTTACATACGTTAGGTATAGTTTAGAAAATAAGTTCAACAGTGATATAAAAACTGTAACTGCGCTTATCAGCTCACATCACGAATATTCAATGTGTTAACAATTAATTATTTCCGTTTTTTTTGTCGTCAGAAAATATAGACCGAGTTGGTTTATTACTATTCTCATTAAATAGGTAATCACTATTAAACAATAGATAAGATGCATCTATGAGAAACTATAAACCATTTGTAAAGGTGCCATCACCCAACTTTTTGTATGTATTTCTCTTATAAGAAGATTCATCTAATTCTATACCTTCTCTGTTTACGGAAACCAGTTAGTGGAGCACTTTCTTTATCACACATTTACAAAAGGTTGTGAAACAGCGTCACACGAGAAAGGGGCTGTCATTGGCTGCAGTTCCGACTACACAGTCAATATTCAGACCAATGAACGTAAAGCTTGGACTAACTCGATTCTTTGCTAATAGTAGAGTGAAGTAAGTATTCAGAGCGCTCTATAAACAAAGTAGAAGAATTCTATGAAGTTCAAGATAATATGATATCCTATCAATGTATTCCTGGGTAGTTCTTCCATTCCAAATAATTTCCATTCCATAGCTTTAATTCCATTAATTAATATAATTAATCGTTTTTTGTTTTGTTAATTGTTTGATTTGATGTTAATATTATTAAACACTATTTAATTAGAAATAAAACTGATTGCAGAACCGCTGTTTTCATTCAATGATTTCAAAATATGTGACATCACACTAGGGAGTGGGGGAGTCTCACAAATGTGACCAGCTGTAACAAGGACGGGGGGAGGGCCAAAAAATCACGAAATTCGTGTGACGTAATTTATGGATGACCCCAAACTGAGGTAAAAACCAGAGACAAAATATAGGTAATGCACTTTTTTAATAAGTTTCGCTTTTTTATGTATATATTTAAAATAAAGTTATGATGCAGCCTTTAAACTTTCATTTCGGCCATGAGAGATGATTGGAGATGAGACTGAGAATTTGGCACTTTAAAGTAAAAATTTTGCAATATATATATTTAATAATGAGCAAATTTTAAGTGTGACATTAGAAACCATTTAGTTGTACAGTTTCGATCGTAAATCAATATAATTTTCCCATAAAATCTATATAAAATGATAGAAGCCGCGGAAAATTCCCTTGCGAGTAGAGCCAACCTCCTATCAATAGTTTAATTTAGTTTAATCCCCCTGACCAGTTTATAGTTAACATTATAATAAAAACTAAATAAAAATAAATTATAACAAAGCAAATTTTGATTCACTTACCATATAAATACATTCATGTACCAAACTTGCTCAGGGACTTTTCTGGGGATAAAGTTTGTCCTAACTGGATGTTGGAAAGGCTGTTTTCGAATGCCAAAATAATACCCTAAATAGACGAGTGGCAAAGATATACAAAACCACAGACATAATAGAGCCATCATAGTTGAAAATGGAACTGCTCCACTGGAATGTTTTCCCATTATGAAGAAATTTAAAAAGAAGCAAGTTCCAAATACAATCGCAGGATATATTGTGGCTGTAAGGAATGCAGCTTGCTTCCATTGTTTCCCTTTCATTGTGGTATATAGGCGGGCCGAGTAGTAGCCAGCGACAAGGCCCATGAACACATACAAGAATATAGCAGCAGTCATTAATGCACCACGGCTAGCAGGTGATAACATGCCCAGCATAGCTACGACTGGAACAAAGCAATCATAATTATGAATAGCATATCATTGTCATGTTAGGATGAAAAACGTGGGACAGGACAACTGATCGCAAACTGATCCGTTGGCAAATACTATAGTCGGCCCATCTTTTATAATAATAAAATCTCTATTAAAATGGAATATATAGTTTTTTTTTCATAAATAAATAATACTATATTATTACTAGAGACGGACCGACTATGGTATTAGCCGACTAACCGACTAGCCGACTGATCGGTTTTCAAATTGCCGACTAATCGGCAATGCCGATCATTTTATCTTCGCGGTCTTTTTGCCCGTCAAAATAGATCGTTTACAACTGCAACGCACACTATGGGTTAAAAATACCGCGTACAAAGTCCCCCGAACAACGGAGGGCACCGAGAGATCAAACAGGACAAATGATCGTGGGTGTCCCTGAAAAAAATAGAACTTATCGTTAGGCGCAATAACGAGTTAAGTCCGCGTTCCGTACTCGATCCGATTTAAAGAGCTGGATCCAGTATTCACTTTAAAAACGTCTTCACTTTCTCTTAACTTCCATGTTAATTACAACACAACGTAATTACTTCCATAGCAGGCGCGTTTCTATATTTTGGGGGGCAAATGTTCGCAAATCGCATGCGTTCTGTCCATGACAAATCCACGGTGGACATATTTACACGATGTAGGGACTTTTGTCCTCTGCGGACAAAAGTCCTTCGCCTGCGCAGGCCATATACCTATTTTAGGGGGAATTCGAAATATTTCGTCACTTCTCGAGTTGCTCACGCACGACACGAGTCATTCATTGCCACTAAGCATGTTGTGACGTGTTTGTTTACCTACATTTTTATTTCTACTGTTCCTTTTGTTTCCTATGCCTGTATAATCTAATTAAGATAAAAAAAAAATAAAAAAAATATAAAGCAAGAATAAAAAAATAAGCATAAATTGTTAGTTTTATTTCATTTGCTATTTGCCATTTATAATCGTATTTTTTTGCCGAATTATCACCGACTAATCGCCAACTACACACGATGCCGCATAGTCGTCTTTCCAGACTAGTCAGCACATGTCTAATTATTACTAAAAGTTTGTAAAAAAAATTATGTTCAGAAAAGTAAAGTAAAGTCAATTTCAGATTTAAAGTTATTGAGGATTGAAACACTTGGAAAATAGAATACAAAATATCATAACTCACAAATCGTTATAAGAGTCATCAGAAATACTTGGATTCCACTTCCAATCACAGCTGCGAAAAGCATCCTCTTAGGAGGTGGGCGGAAGACATCACCATGAACTAATTTCCATCCAGTTTCTTCCATCATGTCATCAATGCTTTCATCAGAATTATAACGTGCAATATCCCTTCTCAAAGTTCTCACCATAATCATTGTCAAGATACCTACATACACAATTACATACATAATTAGATCATTATTGATAGTCAAAAAACAACACAAATAACATATCTTCTTACCTGACAGGAAAAATAGGACAACAATTGAGTTTACTATGGAGAACCAATGAATTTGCACATCTTTCATGCCTAAATATATATCCCATCTGGATGCCCAACTTATGTCAGATTCACCCCATTCTACTGAGTATGTGAAATAAAGTTTAGTGCCAGTATCTTCATTGACCAATTGAGGTTTAAGATTGGATGAAAACTGACATCCAAAATCATCTAGGAATGTGAGTTCATCTCTATCTATAGAAAATGTCTCAACTTCAAAACCCACCACTCTGTATGAGTCTCTGAAAATGATTATTTTTTTTTTCACACAAAAAAATAATAAAAAAAAAATATTTTTTCACTCAAGTGCAAATGGTTACTTCATGTTTGTCAAATAATAAACTATTGTAAAGAGATTACACTTACTGACTATGTTTATGGTACTTCAACAATAATTTAAGATGATTATTGATGTATGCCTTTCCCTTAGACATAAATCCAAGTCGATAACCTTGCTCGATAGTTCTCTCACCAGTTTCAACATTTATAACTCTTGTTGCTACTGGTAAATTATCAATCAGCCTTAAAAATAACAAGATCAATTGAATAAACAACATACAGGTACCTGTACCATAACATGGTTTCATGAAATAAGCAGCTCTGTGAATAAGAAGAAGCTCTGTTATACAATATTTAATTCATACATAATGAGTTTCATACATACCTATTTATTCTTAATTTTTTGTCAATGCATTGTATGACACATCGAATAGGTTGGTTGCAGTAGCAGTAGCCTAACAATGGTGGCGACGATGGTGTGTGACACTCCTAATAATAAAAAAGTTTAATAGAAAGCAGTGATTATGGAAACAAAATAAAGTGTATAAAAATCTTACACTTTAGGGGATATTTTGTTAGGCTACTGCTATTACACCAACTTATTATCTACAATGTGTCATACATTGCAAAAACAAAAAATAAAGAACAAATATATCTGGTGAAACTGTATAACTGGTATAACAAAACTCGAACCAACATAACCCTGACCAAGATCTCCATAAGAGAGAATTAATGCACCTAAAAAGCACTTTCCCAAAGCGGCTTCTTAGTATCTGTGATAATATGTGTCGGTAGAAATAAAAACTGAAATAGTTAAACATTTTAACTTACAAATGCACAAAATATTCATGTTCAATACGACTTGCAACCTTTTCAGATTCTTCTACACTCCAGTTGATTGGATTGTTCTTTTGATGGCATAATAATCTACATTTAATGTTTTCAGCCATATGAACTTCATACGGGGTATTAACAATACGGTCACCCCGTAAAACTTCGCCCAGATTTTCTGATTTGTATACAAATGTACCATTTTTTGGTAAGCATAGGGGCAAGGAATAATATTCATATGGAAGTTGTGTATGTATACTCGTCATTTTAACAGCTTTAAGTTCAATTCTTTGGCCTTTTTTGAACTCGACCGGGGCAACACCGGGTACATAAAATCCATGGCTACAAAGAATTAGGCTGGTGAATAGGAAACACTGAAAAAGAACCTAAAAAATAAATAAAAGTTATATTAAGAAAACACAAAACTTGATCAAAATTATCGGGTTTTTAAAATACTCACTGTAAACATAATTGTATATCAACTTTTAATCAAAAACAAAAAACATTTGTAAGATTTATCATTTTCCATGTATCGACTGTTTCCTTCGGTTTCCTTCTGAACTGGGCTGTCATGACACTGACAGTTGCAGTGACAGCTGGATAAGTAGTTGCGTTCCGTTGCGTTCGGTATTTGCATCGCAGAGGCGACGGATTTTTGGTCACTTGATCACAGATTAACCTGAGCAAATTGAGAGAAACTAGAGATGAGTAGCTCGCGAGCGAGTTGTTTAAAAAAGGTAGCTCGATTATTCTAGCTCGTTCCATTCATATCTTTTAGCTCAGTGTTTCATCGGAATCGAGTGACTCGATAGACAAATAGAGACAATTAAGCGTTTCGAACGGCGCCGAGTAAAACTATTATGCGAGGTACACGTATACTATGTCCATGTGAAATGCGTCATCGAGCAACTTTGTGCAACGGTTATATAAGAATCTTTTGCGGCCCTGAAAAGGGCCTTTTGTGTGCCTGTTGAATTGTGTTGCGACGTATGTATGAGTGACAGAATGATATACAAACACACAACACAGAAACACTGCCTATTGGATACTCTAGCTCTACGTAAGTATGCATTAAAATTTTATCTATACTGCTACGCAATAAGCTTAAAAACTGTTAAAATGCACTAAGCTGTTGAAAATAAACAATGAATAGCGAATTGCTTCGATAACTATATTTTCAAAAAGTTAATTTACAATAGAAAGTAGGTATTATTAACTACCTATTAATATTTGACGACCTCCGTGGCCGAGTGGTTTGTACGCCGGGTTTCATGGTGTTGTTGCCGACTCGAAAGGTCCCGGGTTCGAATACCGGTGGGGGCAGATGTTTCTGTGATGGATGTTTAATATATATTTCTATATAAATATACTTATATATGTACAGTATATGTATTCTATCCTTTATCCTAGCATCCCATAACATAAGCCTTACAGTGCTTACTTTGTGGCTAGGCTAATTGGTGTGTGTTGGAAATATTATTTTTTTATTTAATTCTGTGGTATAACTCTTTTGTCAATCAAGCAAGTCTGATCTGTGTACATTTAAACGACTCGAGAGCCTTCTATCTAAATGAACTGCACTGAGCTAAATGAGCTACTGAGCTAGAAGCAGGGTTGGATTTAGGTATGTTGAAAAAACTTGCACAAAAACTGAAAAGGATAGTATTTATAAAAAAAATATAGAACACTTTCATTATTTTTTATTTAACATATAATAGTAAATAAAATCGACACCCGTTAAGGCAAAATTGCTCCTCTTATAAGTTTATTAGTTCTTGAATATTACTATTAGTTCCATCTTCATCCTTGGCATTTCATCTCATCAATATTTTATCCTCATTAGGAATAAAATCAGTACAATTTCCACTTTTGCTACCGCTTTTGATGCCACTTTCCATAATTAAAACACTGAAAACGTACCATTTTACATAAAAACTCGCAAGCGATTGTTAAAACATTGAGCAAACTTCGAGTTTCGAATGGAATGGAAGGGACGAGATTAGTAGAAAGAGATAAGTGTATTGCGGAGGATAATCGGGGAATCCCCGGTCATCAACACAGCAAACATCGCAAGATCAGAATTCGGTTGGATACACGCACGGTCGAAATATTCAAAATATGACGTAAAACTAAGCATTCGGGAGCAAACTTTAAATTATAGTATTTAAGCGTACTATCCTGAGATGTGGATAGTATATAGTACAAAGGGCTAAATTATAGTATAAATACTATAATTATAGTACAAAATCCAAACCTGGCTAGAAGAGCTATATAGCTCTTAACTGCGTAAAAAGTTCGTATATTTTCAAAGAGCTAAATTTCTCATGGCTACGACCAACCGTAGATTAATGTCTATCTTCAGACAAAAACAAACTTTACAAATAACGGATTAGTCTTTCTCGTCGGTCAAAATGATCTGACCGGAATTACCGAATGCTTCAGATTTGCTCTAGATGTGATAAACGAATGATTCGGACTAAAAAGATTAATCAGCAGTGATGCCAACTTAGCAACTTTATAGCTAGATCTAGCTATTATTAAGTATCACACAGCTACAATTTAATAAAATTTGTAGCTAAACTATTTAATTATTTTTTCTAGCAACTTTTCATTTCATCATGAGAGATTCATAGAGTAGGGTGCCAAATCTTAAATGAAAAGCTAAAAACTGAAAGCGACTCTATATATATTAAAGATACTATGTTATCGGTCGTAGGTCGGCCTTAGCCGGGAATTCCCCATTTAATGTTGTGCTACGACAGAATGCACTATGGCAGAACGTGGGTACTTATTTACTAAACCAAAGTAGTACGCACCACTCGTATTCTACCCAGGGTTTTTTTATTTTATTCATATAAAACTAATGTAAAAATGGATTAACCCTTGAGAAAAAAAACATACGCACAGAAATATAGGCAGGTTGGTTAAAAGCAGCAAGTGGAGATCCAAGCAAAGCGACTAGGACAAAAAAGTAGAGTTCCAAACAGGTACGTGAATTTAAAACTCGTTTTGTTGAAAGTAGACTTTTTCGACGGGAAAAAGTAGTATGATAATTTTAGTTTACAAGTATTTCTTTTTAAAATAAAGGTCTTCAACTCATTTTTATGCGTCTACGGTCAGTGTTGATATCGCTTCTTGTAATATAATATTTTTTTTACCTACTGGTAGATTCAGCTAAATAAAAACTGACAATCTAGCAACATTTTGTAAGATGTCTAGCAACTGGTCAATGCTAGTAGTTGGCAATACTGTTAATCAGACGCAAAAATCGAACTCAGAATTAGCGGTGGGCGTTTAAACGAAAAGCGCTTAATTAAGCGCGCTTAAAATATTAAGCTTGTAAGCACGCTTTTAAGTTTAAGCGTTATAAGCTTTTCACTTAAAAAGTGTGAGTAAGCTTTTCACTTAAAAAAGTGCAAGTATATTTTTTACTTAAAAAGTGCAAATCCCGCCATCTATGTCTTTGCCAGGAAACTACATACTTTGACCCTTCTAGTCCACTACAGTATCGAAAAATGGGTACGCGGAATTCCTTGGAACTAAATATTTCACAGCATCACAGCCATAGAACGCGCGACTACAGCGCCGCGTCGGCGTGCCATCTTTCGTGAGCCGGTTAACAGCATGCGAATTATTATAATGCGACGTAAAAAAATGCACTTTTTTAAAATTTGGTCAGATAACCAACGCTTTTTTCGTTAAAAGCGTTTAATTAAACAAAGTCGAAAAGCAGTACTCTTGTCACTGTGACGGGGTAAGAGCGCGTGAGTGTTGTACGGTGTGTTTGCATGCTTGCTTGTGTTAATTCGTTTCGTGTATTGGTTTAATATGCTAAGTATGTATATAAAATCAATGAACTTTTAAGTACGCCTGGATCACGAGTATATTAACTCCAGACAGTCCTAAGTTTGTAAAGTACGAAAGAAAGTTCATTGACTACTATAAAAATGTTTATTATAAAATCTAAAGTCAATTGAAAATCTTTCGTTTTTAATGCCAATCAATTCATTAGGTTTAAAAAAACTTTTTAATAAAAATTTCATTAATAAGAAGAAAAAACGCAATAAAACACTTAAACACATTAAAAACGACAAATAACTTTTCACGCTTTTTTAAACGATATACCTAAACGAAAACACAACACAACGTCGCGCTTTTTACGCATGCTTTTGAACGTTTAAGCCAATAAGCGTTTAAACAAAAAAGCTTTTTTTCAAGCGCGCTTATTTTAAAAAGTACAACATTTAAACGCTTATAAGAAATAAGCCGTTTTTACCATCTCTACTCAGAATGAATGATTTGATCATCGTAATTTTGGCAACACAGGTTGGCTGCACTGACTGTCAATATCAAATTGTCTGGCACAAAGCCAAAGCAAACGAGTGTCAGTTCCCAATCGACCGCATCTTTTTATTTAATTTTTTTCTATGTTACAAATCGATACAGTCATAAAATTGTTACCTAAACTATTATTAATTCTGAATTAAGTTTTGTGGTTTGTTATATTATTGTAAACAACATTATGGTTCAGGTAAATAAACTTATACCTAACCCTAGTACATGTGATATTTCTATAAAAGACGTGCACATTGTTTACGGGAAAAAATAACAACGGTGTTATTATAAAGGTACATTCTATCGTTTTACAGGCTGGTGAAGAAATGGAGCAGCCTGACCTTCCACAGGCAGTTAGACTTCTAAAAGAAATGAACACAAATATCCAGCAAGTTTCTCAGCTTGTAGATAACATGCTAGCCAGAGTTAAAACTGGTGAATTAACAACAGATAAGGGTTTGAGTTTTCTGGAAATGAAATATCAAATGCTTCTTAGTTACCTCATAAATCTAACATATATTGTGCTGCGAAAATGCTCAGGGGAAAAAATCGAATCTGATCCGTCCATTGACAGGTTAATTGAAATAAGAACTATATTGGAAAAGATTCGACCGATTGATTCAAAACTAAAGTATCAAATAGATAAACTTGTTAAAACTGCGGTTGTTGGTGTTGTATCCGAAGATGATCCACAATCATACCATGCTAATCCTGCTAACTTGATAAACAAGGTAAAAAGCTCCGAAGATGAATCTAGTGAGGATTCTGATGATGACGGTAATATAAATGATAAGGTAAAGAAATCAAACATTTATATACCTCCAAAGTTGGCAGCTGTACATTATGATGATAGCTTATCCCGAACTGATATTGATAAGAAAAATAAAGAAAGATCAAAGAAACAATTCTTAAACTCAAGTGTTATGCGCGAACTCCGTGAAGAATATTCTGAAGCTCCACTAGAGGTTAGTTCTGGAAACAATTTAAAGCAATCTGTTTCAAAATTTGAACAAGAAAAAACAGAATATGAGGAGAACTATCTTACACGTTTGCCAGTAACAAAAGCTGAGAAAAACCAAAGGAGGAAGCTCACAACAGTAGGCATGTTAGCAGATGAAGTTACTGGGCGTTCTGTAAATCGTAAACACAAAATGAAATCCAAGAAAGGTAAAGGCTTTAAAAGAAGGCGCACACATTAATTTTTTTTGTATTTATTTGTCATATTTTATATGTATTAGGTTTTCAACAAGATATCCTATTAAAAATCTCTTTTGTAATGATGAACATTCTTCTTCAGGATATTGAGATTAGTTTCTTTATTATTTATTCTTATTTTCAAGTTCATAGGCCTTATAATGCTATATATTGAAAATAAAACCTGGGCAACCAACACTAATTAAATATGCATAATGTAAGTCACATTGAGACAGTATATCACAGTATAGTGACAGATTCAAGGACATCCTAATTATATTTATGAATGTTGTACTATTATATTTAAATGTAAATCATAAACTTTATCACTTTAATGAAACAACAGTCGCATAAAATATCTAATGTAGTTAGTGTATGTAAAATAATCCACATAAATATATATTGCATGATTTACTTTTTTAGTAATGTCCATAACTAATGGGAGATGGTAAAGGACAAATGCAGGGTAAACAATATTTTAATAAATCTCATTAAAATATTTTTTCAGTTCTGCTACTGTCTTTTTTGGTAATATATCAGTCAGTTTTTTGTTTCAATTGTACATATTAGACCATTATAAGTCATGAATCACAATACACTATTTAATTTTTATTTTTATTGTTATAAATTGTGAGTGTAAATATTGTCAATACCCCTAGCTAGCAATCTGCCAAAAACATATTTAAATTTTACTGTCTGCCAATAGGCTGTATTTCATGAACTGTGATAGGTAGACAGTTGACGTTTTCACAGGTGATGCATTTCTGTTACCACTATAATAACAATTACTAAAATAAATAATCAATTTGGCTCCAATACAACAAATGTGATATTGTTGCTTGATATTAATAATGGCAATTGGTATACGCTTGAAATATTCACAGATAATTAAGTTGCACCTACACTTTAAAAATAAATAATTAATCTTAAATAAATTAATATATTAGAGGGGGACTCCCACACAACACACTATTTTATGCTGTTTTTTGGTCGATATTACAATATTGTGTCTAATGTTGTATAGATCATATTATTATTATATTGCATTCTCATATAAAAGCTTCCATAATACTTGCAAAAGTATAGTATAATAATTTATTAATTTCTGTGTATGAATATAGGTACACGGAAATTAATAAATTATTATACATAAATGGTCAGAAGCACATCAGTTGGCCTAGTAAGAATGCTTCATTCTTTATAATTTAACAATAATATATACATTTATGTTGAAAATTTGAAATAAAAAACTGACAAAACAAAACTGCTAAATAAAGGTAAAAGTTGGTTTATTTGTTGTGATTACAAAAAGATTTTTTAATTCCTGTCTAATGAAAAGAAGGTCATTTTAGGCATGATATAAATAATTGAAGTTTTCATATTTATGTTTCATAACCTTTTTGTTTAACATAATTTGGTACACTATTTGCGCTTAACAGGCAAGCTTACTGTGCTGGTAAATTCAGGGCCGGATTTAATACCGGACAGGCGGGCCTGCGGCCCAGTTGCCTCCACAACAGAGTTAAACTTAGATTTAAACAAAAAGGGAAGATACGCTACACTCATACTAGCATCAAATAAAATATGCTCCGGTTCAACTATATGAGCAACTCTCACGCACGCACACTTCTGTAAATAAACATTCAATCGAGCGAACGAGACAGAACTGTACGCTTCAACGCAGCGCGAGCGAAACGGCGAGTCCGCGTCGCAGCGTCGCGTCGCTTGGCTTGGCAACTGTGTTTTCTTTTCTCTCTCTACAAACGGCTGAGCTGTATTGTTGCCCTCTTCTTGATAACAAATGGCGACTAAGTTAATAAGATTCATGACAAACCGTGATTTTTGAAAAAAGTTTTCATAGTTTTACGAATGAAAGTGTTGGCGTGAATTTTTTTTATTAGATTCTGAACTATTTGTGTTTTTATAAGAGCATCGAAGACATTGTTTTATCTTTAGAACACAATATACGCAATATTGTTATATTAAGTGCACATGCAGCGTTTGAATGTCCAATTGTGACTAAAGCGAATTGTGGTCTTTGCACCACAATTTAAGCGCATCACTTGAGCCGCGAGTGCCGTATCTTCCCTTATTGTTTTTATCTAAGGAGTTAAAAAACAAATGTCGTTGGATCACGTGGCCCGGGATAGATTTAAGGGCCCCTCACCTCAATACGGCCCTGGAATCTACTTCTAGGTTTGACTCCAACACTACGCCAAAACAGGCTAAATTCTATGACTGCTTTTATAACTTCAATTTTATCAATGTGTTCCTCATGCCGAAATAGGTCTTGGCCAAATTCGTAAATAAGTTCGGCTATGAACTTGTGCCTTGGAATTCATTATCAACTCAATTTCTCGCGCCATATGCCAACTCGAACTAAAAATGTTATGCTACTAGTGAAATATTTATAGCAAAACAAACGGCCTTATTCTGGCATATAGGCACCATTTTCTTAAACTATGTTTCCAACATTATCGATATAGCAGACAGATCGTCTTATGGCCACTTATTCATAAAATTTTTCCTTTCATTTATAAATATGTGAATAATTGACTAAGTAATACCATTATACTCATGTTGCCAAAAAGTTCATAACATGCATATGAGGTGGGAACAGTCCATAATCACTTAATTATTATATTATTTTGACTGCTGCTTTCATATGACGTAATGATTAAAGTGATATTGTTTTAAACTCACACTTTAAAGTATTTTTTGTTATTAACGGGATTGCTAACATGCATCTTGTTTTTAACGATTTTCAGATCTTTTCAATATTCTAAAGAAAATACATGCAAATGAAATGACGTAATAATGCAGGTAAAATTATAATGAATGGGGTAAAAAATGTATTTAAGAGACAGTAATGTAAAGGAGAAACAGCCTTTATATTTTGAAAGAAAGATTTTGAGAATGTAATGTTATTGTAGACATAAGTGAGTCTAGACAGTAGGTAGATATTAATACAGTGCAACCTCGATATAACATATCGGATGGGAACAGGTAAATATTCTCTATATCAAGTAATTCATTATACTGGGGTTTGTTATATTGAGGTTAGGTTGGTCTACAATTTATTATACAAAGGAAAAAAATAGTTTCCTGTCGCGACATAAATCACGTACTATGGGATTTTAATTGTCATATATTGGTGGGAACGTTATTTAAAGGTTTTGATTTGATAAAATTCGTTAATTAGAGGTATTTACACTTTTTTTGATAGTTGAAAATTCGTTAAAAAGATGTGGTTCGCAAAAAATGTTCGCAATGTAAAGGTATATTTTATATTGACTCTCATGTAAAATTCAAGGGGATTACCAAGTATTTTTAAATCGTTATATTGAGATATGTTATATTAAGGTTGCACTGTATATTTATTGAAGTTTAAATCGGAGAAATAGGTAAGGTTGCCTTTTTTAAATGCGCAAGTCAAATTTAAAACCTTGTTGCTAAAACCTCAAAATAGACATAACAGAAGATAATGAAGGCTAGGTGTACCACTTGATATGTTTGGAATGTATGATACATTTAAACATCCATGCATCCGTGGAGTGGAGTGAACTTTTTCAATTAATAAATATGAGTGCATTTTATAAATATAATTATAATGCAGGCACCTTTTCAAAGTACATAATTATACTTTTATTATTTGAAAAGGTGCAATCCACGTCTGTAGGTCTATTCGCTAACGGCTTATGACAGCTAGAAGTGATGATCACGGAGCAATTTACTGATCTACTACTATTTTATTATAACGTCACTTAGATACTTTTTTCAAAAGCATCGATGGATATTATTTTTTTTCTTTAGTTACACATTGTAAACATCAGAAAAGTTAGCGAATTGGCCTGGGTAGGTAGGAAGGCGTTTAGATCGGACGAGCGAGATTAGATTTATGTGTTACATAAGTGTTTAAAGGTTTTAACTTTTAACCAATGTCATTATGTCAAGAACCTATCTGACTGATATTATCCTTCTCAGTTTTTCGTAAGAAGCATTGTTGAGTTACTGGTAAACAACGACGTATTTATAAAGACTCCAACAGTTTATTTTAATAATTTAAATTTCTTGTTATTTGTTAATTTGATAAGGTACTTATAGGTATCTAGTTAATGAGATAAGTACACCTTAGTTTGATACTTTTTATTGGTTTCAAGGCTTTCAGGCTGATAATGATAATGTTTAAGTTTTCAATAATTGTATTGTTTTTTTTGTGTTGTTTATACGTTCTGTTCTACATTAATTTTACTATAGTATTTGGCTGATAATTTTTCTAATAAAATGTTTGATCTATTTTATAGTATTATTATCCAAGGACTTCTCAAATGTAGGGAAATCTTGAAGACATGTAGCAGGATTGAAAGATTGATAACGAAACAATCTCATTTCTCTGATGTGCCGAATGGGTGTATGGGTGTCCAAACATTGATAATCTCCTCGAGGCGGCGCTGTCCCATGGTTATGAGTTAGATCTGATCGAATTACTCGATTCAGCAACCATGGTGGAGATGCCATTGTTAACTGTAACCAATAAACAAGAGTGAAAATTTATACCTACATCAACAATAGATACAAATTCGATACAAAAGTTTCTTGCACTACACAATATAAGTATCGTCTTTTACTCTCGTGTCGCCGTTTTGTGGTACAAGAATTTAAATTTAAATATTTGAATTCTGTCTCGGCTTTGGTTTTCTACGACGATAAGTAATATTGTGCGACTAAAGTGCCTATAAGGTGGACGATTTCTAAAAATGTGCAAGTAGTTACAAAAACATGTTTAAAAGTCATGAAATTATGCCTGTCTTGGTGAAAAAGGAAGCCGTCTTGATGAAAAAGTAAGCCGTCTTGATGAAAAAGTGAGCCGTCTTGATGAAAAAGTGAGCTGTCTTGATGAAAAAGGAAGCAGTCTTGTTTGTGGCTCTAATCGAAGGACTATCTTAAGAAACAAATCTAAGCTAAGAATACCTAAATAATGATCATTTGAAATACTACCGGTTTAGCAACGGACGGAAAGGGATTTCTATAATCATCCTGTTGACTTGTTAGGTAATCCATCACCCCAAAGTCAACTGGCAGTTGTGCCAAGTCAGCGTTTTTCATCAGTTTATTTCTTCCAGCTGTACTATAAATTTTTAATTATAAGATATTAGGTTATTACATACTTAAATAATAATATAATGCTCAGTCTGGAAGCGAATCATCACCTTCGTTTGGATTAATTGGCTCCACATACTATCCCTCCCAGTTGGAAAAGCGAGTAGCGGGTGCATTCTAGCTTTCCTATCTGACTTCCAACACGGGAGAGACCATGGCGATTCATAAATGGACCTCTTACGCCCCCTACTATTTGCCGTATGATTTAATGTTTGCTTGACTAGTTATAGTACTGATTGTATGAAAGGCCGAGTGATTTCCGCTTAAGCGACATCTAATTCGTAAAATAAAGGCACTAGATATCGTCGCTTATACAACAATATCGCGTAAGTAAAATTTGACAAGTTTTCAGCAGAGACAAAAATGTGTTTATTTTTTATTAAACACTTCGTTAATTTCTTATGAATTTAAAAATAGGTATGAGTTGGCTTTAATTTTGATATCAAGAGATAATATTAGTTTATTTAGTTCTGTGAAACTATATATTTGACTTATGCAGTTTAAGTTTTACAAAATAAATACTTCTGCGGTGTTTAAACTTTTTATTTATCATAATTAACTAACAAAAATAAATTCTACAAAGCTAAAGCGTCTTATATAATACTAGTAGGAACTATAAAAAAATGATTTTTTTAAGCAGGCAACACAACTGATGCAGAAATAGCGCCGCATATTGAAAAAAAGGAACTGGTTACCTTCACAGTATGCTGTTAAAGCAATGAAAGCTAGAACTGCCCCAATGCCATACGAATGTCGCACTGTAGATTAAAGCTTTTTTACAGATTTAAGTAAAGATTTAATTTTTTAAAGGATTCGACCGGGAAAGAAAGCCAATGATCCAACTCTAACTGACATAGTGGGTTCTAGGTACTACCAGGCCACTCAGAAAGTTTTGTTTTTATGTAAGACACTGGCCACTTGTAATTATTTTGAAAACTTCGATTATTTAAAAGTAAAAATACCACTGTTCGATTTTCAAATTTCCCTCCGTATTTTTTCTAGAGCCATATAATTTTTCGTGTCTCATTAAAAAATGAATCTGCATCGAGAACATTTTCGTGCTATGATTTTTTACGATTTTAAATGTGGCTTAAAATCTGATGAGTCATTTGATCGATTTCGAAATGCTTTTATGGATGAACGGCCTTCAAAAGCAACCATCTACAGCTGATGTAGCGAGTTCAAACACGGTGGTCTTACTTTGAGGGATGAACAAATAAGTGGTCGTCCTACGACGGCTGTCACCAAAAAAATGTGCTGGCACTAAAAAGTTAATTCAGGAAAACAGTCGAATTACGTATGATGAGATTCAGCATACTCTGCAGATTGGTTCTGGAAGTGTTCACAAGATTTTGCACGAACACCTTTGCGTAAGGAGGATAGTTTCCCGCTAGGTGCCCCACAACTTCACCGAAGCTCCGAAGCAGGCCCGTGTGGATTGGTGCAGTGATATGATGCAAAAATTTGCTGCAGGCTCGTCACGGCGCGTTTACGATATTGTGACAGGTGACGAATCCTGGATTTATAAATACGATCCAGAAACAAAGCGTCAGTAGACAGTTTGGCTGTTTCAAAATGAACCTACGAAAGTGAAGCGATCGAGGAGCGCAGGGAAAATTTTGATCGCTAGTTTCTTAACTTTGACGGGGTACCTAATTTCAATTCCACTTCGACACCAAAGCAGCATCAACGCCGAATGGTATAGCACACAATGCCTGAAAGAATTTTTTTCTGCAATGAGCAACAAGCGACCTAACACCAGGCTCCGCGGGGTCCTTCTTCACCACGACAACGCGCCCGCGCACTCTGCGATGAAAACGAAGGAGTTCCTGGACTCCACACCAGTTTGGGACACTCTCCTCACAGTCCTGTTTTGTTTCGTGTGACTTCTTTTTATTTCCTAAAATGAAAAATCAGCTCAAAGGTATACAGTTTTCATCGCCGGAAGAAGCGCTTTGAGAAGGCAGTGGAAGAGGTGCCTGCGGAGGACTGGAAAAAATGTTTTGAAAATTGGTTCAGATGCATGAAATTTTGTATAGAGGCTGGTGGAGTTCTTTAAAAAGATTTAATAAAAAATATTTTTTTCATAGAAGTTACTTTTTTAGTTTCTCAAAACTTTCTGAGTGTCCCACGTATCTATAAGGACACAGCGCAAGGTTCTCCTTTAATTTATTTAGTGATTTTTTTGTTGGCTTTATCGCATAAAAACTAATAATCTAGTTAATTAGCATTATTTACTACTTAAAAATTTATCACGATGTCTGTATTATAATCGTTCCCATTCTAATTAATTCCCATTCTTGATTATGCTGACGTCTGCTATCTTGATCTCACGGAGGACCAGCTAAATAAGCTTGAGCGACTTCAACTTTTGCATCCGCTTCATATTTGGCTTGCGCAAATATGATCATGTTTCTCAATTTCGTTCGCAACTCAAGTGGCTACCTATTCGTCTTCGCCGGAATGCTCATATTCTCACTCTCCTTTACAACATATTGTTTAATCCTAAGACCCCGCGCTATATTAAAGAATGTTTTAATTTCCTTCACACCTCTAACACGTTATCTCTTAGGTCATCAGAAAATCTTACTCTCATGACTCCTGTACACGGTACAACATTTTATAGCCGTTTGTTTGCAGTACGAGCCGTACACCTGTGGAATTCTCTCCCAGTTACCATACGACGTGCAGAATCTATTCACGCTTTTAACAACCTTGTAAAGTCCCATTATCTGTCCATATAGAACTTTTGGTTTTAATCTTATTTGTGACTACTACCAACTGAACTAGCTTTGTTTATTTATATGTATGTATGTATTTATTTATATTTATGTATATATATGAATGTATATATTATTACCTATATCACTCAAGTGATTTACGCCGCCGTCTCTCCCACTTCCTTCTAGTCCTCTCCATCCATAGGTTGTCTGGAAGAGATCGCTCTCAGCGATAAGGCCGCCCATTGTTACACTTGTTTTAAATAGTTATGTACTAAATGTTATGTTATGTTATCTGTGGTATACAATAAAGTGTTTTGTATTGTATTGTATTGTATAAAGGAAAAATTGCGAAAAACGTAAATATTTAGTTAAATCATATAATAATAAATATTTTTGAAAATTCAGATTTGTACGGAACTCTTGGTACGCGAGTCCGACTCGCACTTGGCCGTTTTTTTACCTATTGCTTTCGACTGCTCCTACTGCTCATTTTATAAGTCACTAGCGGCCCGCCCTCGCTTCGCTTCGATGTAGAGCTGAATTGTAGACTACAGTTTTTGTTCTCAGGCTTGTATTATACACAATGACATTCATCTATGATTCTTCTTATACCTGCATGCAAAGTCTCAGCCCGATCGGTTTAAAATTGACAAAGTTTCATACAAACTTTCATTCCCTATTTTATCCTTTCTTAGCGGATGCCTACGTCATATCAATATTACTACCTGCTTGCCAAATTTCAGCCCGATCCGTCCAGTGGTTTGGGTTGTGCGTTGATAGATTTAGTACAGTCAATCTGTAGGTTGAGTGGTGAAAAAAAAACCTAAAGGGTAAGTCTTGTTTTTTCTGTTGCCAAATGACGTTTTTTGAAAAACTCAAAAAAACCGTCAAAAATTTTTTGAAACGCATTTTTCTTGCTTTGTATGCATTTTAGAAACTTTTTTTGACCATAATTGTAGAGGGCGTTAAGTACTACAATTTATGTCGTTGTTGCAATCTCGTACAACAAAAAATGCGCATTGTAGGTGGCGCTAAAGTCTCAAAAAAGGGTTTTTTCACTTTTTCACCCTGAAAATATCATTTTAATGGAAAACTTTAAATGGCAAAGTTGTTTCGTACATAATTACCAACAACTTTTGTATAAACCTTTTTTTTGTATTACTTACCGTTTTCAAGTTATAAATTGCGCAGGTATGAAAAATCCAATAGAGCGGTTTTGGGCAGTTCAAGTACACATTTGCAGTGCACATTTCAATGTACGTTTTTATTTTATTTTTTTCAATCATGAAAAAAATAAAAATAAAACTATTTTTTTTATTTTTTTTTGTTTTTCAATCATGAAAAAAAAAAAAAGTAATAGTTACCTATTTATTTTCGTTTCTCCTGGCCTGGCTTAGGTAGCCGACCCCGAACAATTCGGGGAAAAAGCTAAGCAGATGATAATGACTTTTATTATTTTCGAACACGTGCGTGATGGAAGCGAGTAGTACTTTTCGGGTATTCAGAATCGTCTGTCTGGCAACACTATTTTTGTAATTAAATTTCTATGTTTGTAAATTATTTTTGTCATCATTTGATTATCAACAATAAAACTCGTTTACTCATACGTTATTTTATAATTTGGTTTACTTAATTTAACGGTTTTTTACTGCGAAGTAAAATAGGCCTCGCGAACGAGCGCCGCCACTGTAGATTATCATTTCATCAACGCTAAAAGTTGTCACTTCTTCAATGATTTTCGCGGACCATTTGCAATAGTGCTCCAATCTTATAATGTATGTCTCCATCGTCATAAGATTATCGATTAAATGTAAACTTTCTAAGTACCATTGAAATTTCTTTAGATTCATGATGTTAGCTAATTTATCATATCGCAATTTTCGGGACCACAAAAATGCTGGCTGTTAAACCTGTAAAATCTGTGTTGCCAGTAGTGTCAGAGAATATATACACTTGGTAGTGTGTCTATACTGTGTTACACAAACTGTAGTATTGTGACTAACGTTTTATTAAAAAAACAATGTAAATAGTTTTCTCCCCAATATTTTTGTATTTGACATCGCATCTTTAAATGCACATTACCAAGAAAAAGCTTAAACAAGCTAATAGGGAAGAGAGTATAAACTATGGAGAAAATCGAGTTTAGTGCGATTATTAAGTTCCTCATCAAGCCAGGAAAAACACTACAGATCATTATAGAAAAGATGTCTTAAGTTTACTGGGACTCTTATCCTAGAAATAAGATGATTTATAAGTGGCTTAACTTATTTATGCAGGGCAGAGGATCGATTAAAGATGACCAGCGCTCAGAACGGCTACTCGAAGCGACCTCACAAAATTCTCAAAAAAGTTGAAAAACTTGTTTTTGAAGATTCACGTTTGAAAAAGAAATTAACCGTAGAAAAGATTGGGTTTGGGTTCTTAGATCGTGAAGTACTTAAATACTTTCGCAATGGTTTGGTCGTAAGATGGATTATTAAAAAAATATTATCTCGAGTGTCTCTGTGCCTTGGTACACGTTAAGTCATTGATCTTGGCTAGATCTATTCTGTGGTCAGAGCATCCAACAATCCGCACAGGCACGAGTGGATGATGATTATGCCCACTTTTCCCATTCCATCGATAATATTTGGAAAGAAAGTGCCACAGCAGTACCATCAACATCAGTAGATTCAGTAATACATACTCAGTGCAAGGATACGATGTGAAGTTGACGAGGGGCTTAAACGAATAAACTGGATCCGTCTTTGTAAACACTTGACCCAACATATGGCGGGTCTCGGTTGTCCGAACGCCCTGGTCTTCGTTCCCCCAACGTGCGTAGGTGCTTACATGGTTACTTAATCCATCACGATAAACGTAATTATCTTTCTTCTCTGCGTGTATTGAGAAATCCCAGTTTTCTACTTTGGTTTTAGACCCGTATATATTTTTTGAAAACAATATTTGCTGAGGTTTCTTTGCAGTAGGATGCTTAGCCCTCATTATAGTTTACTGATTGTCTGATTATATTAAAAATAATGAAACAATTCATAAACTTAAACATGCAATGAGTCATTGAACTGTAAATGATCATCTAAGATAAACATATCTGTAAAGTTGGCATGGCAACCATAGATGGCAACATCAAACGTAGGAAACTTTTCAAAGATTTTGAGAGTTTATCTGAAAAATCCATAGGCAGAAACATATTAACGCGTCGTGGCGTGTCGTGACGCGCCAGAAGCACATAGGTTTCATAATTAAAATATCGTTAGAGGCATATTTACGTGTCGTGTCGTGTCGACACGACACGACCTACAATGAAACACGCCACCCATTACATATGTTTCTGCCTTATGACTGTAGTCTAAGATGGCTCTATGGTTTATTTGTATGTTTGGCACCATCTATGAACTTTGTCACAGACACGGAAAATATTAACTAGCGGCCAAACCGAAAAAAACTGTGGCCATATGTACCTACATAATGGTGGGCGTTTTGACACATTTGAATAGTGAAGTGAAATGTAAATATGTTAAAACTTGTTCCCTTATTGGTCTGTGACGTCATCGAAAAAAAAACCAAATGTAATCCTGCCCCTCTAGCATGACCACCGAAACGGGATATGATAAAGCTTTTTATCGAATCGCAACTGTCAAACTTCACTGTAGTCTGACAGTTAATGTCGATATGTCGCTTTATCATATCCCGTTTCGGTGGTCATGCTAGAGGGGCAGGTATGTGAATCTAATCTAGAAATTATATTTTTGGTAATTTAACCAATATTGCAAGTGGCAGCTAATTAAAAATATTGAATAAAACGAAAATTTTAATGTTTAGTTACCCTCAGGAATCCTGTGTTGATTTAATTGTTTTACATTTCGAATTTATAAAAATATAATGCTGAGTTGCGTAGTTAATAAGTACATTGCAAATATATTATTATTTGTGTGCTATATATATTTTGACTGCAATGACCTCATAAAACAGATTTTTATTCGAGTTCGTAGTAGTTCAAAGAGTATCAAAGATACCTATGCTCATGTATTTTTCCCCAAACAGTGCAGAACGAATGCAGGTGAACGCGCACTCCTACATCGAATAATGATCTTTTTTAATGAAAACCTATCTGGTTTCAATTTGGACTGTTTACAATGTCTTTTTCTCAATATAAAAACGCCATTACTGATTGTTTACCAAATATTTAAAAAATAGGTTCTGTAACTTTTCAATTATACCATCGATTAGCAAGTAAAATAGATTTTACGAACTTAACATGTGTTTTAATAATATAATCTCTGTGTTGTAGTGTTATATTTTTGGTGGTTAACGTTGTTGGTTGTGTAATGACATCAATATATTTAATAGCATTACTACATTACATACAATATTGCACAATTGTTGTTATCCTAAAAAACAGTTTTTGATGATATTAATAAATAAAATTAAAGATTCTTTCAACTGACGATGTTTGTATGCTTAACATGATATTGTGATTAATTGTTTTTGACGTGAAAATATTTCCGAAACCATATTATGTAATTACACCTTAATATAATCTAATTTTGTAAAATTGAATTTTACGGTTTAAAATTACCGATTCGATGAATTTTATGATTTAGTGCTCGTCACTAAAGTGGCAATGAAGAACAGTAATTAGTTCCTTCAAAATTAGAACAAATTTAGCTTAGAGCATAAACCAAGGTGCAACCACCTAATCTAAAAATCTCAACAATCAATATCTCAACAGATGTTGCAATTTTTTAGATGCAACTCACATGCTTAAATTTTTCAGATATTATTTTGAAATAAAATAATTCATTTTCGACAAAGACTTTAATGAACTATATTGAAAATTCCTTTTAAAGCTTTTTAAATTACAAGAGTCTTATGGTTTTAAACGCAAGTGTTCATTGGCTAGATATGTAGGTATTACTGGTAGCTTTCCAATTACAGCATTATAGCGCATTATACGGCATAATGCTTAACGTTGAGTGTTCCAACTAGAGCAACACTTCGCACAATTGAGCACTCTCAAAAGTAATGCTTTCGTGTGATGCGTGCAATCGTACCAACTCAGAGACAGAAAATTAACAAGTGTTTTTTCTTTAAGTTGGCATTGATCGAAATGTTTTATTTATATGTTATCGTTAGTAATATTATTTATTGTTGAAAAATTATTAAAACTATCGTTTCGTCATAGTTATTTTTTAAATAATCAAAGTTAATTCAAACTGTGTTAAAAATTAAATATAAATATGGATGAAGGTACAAACATTGACTTTTTTTTCAATACTGAACTTAGCGCACTCTGCTGGTGCATTTGAAAACTAATTCACGTTCCAAATAAGCATCAGCATAATTCGGCATTGTGCGCCACTGAGTCGCATTATGCTCTGTAATTGGAAAACCACCACTATTGTTGCTCTGACCCTGTATTAAAACATTACCTATCGAGTCTGCCTACGCTAACGTATTATTCCCGGATGTTTACATCCATCGATAGATAATCTCTTCAAATATTAAACCTTACGGGGATGGATTTGAAAAATCCTTTCTTAGTGCACCCCTAGTCCTCATAACGAACCTACGTGCCAAATTTGGAGTGTCAAGACTCAGCGATTTGGTCTGTGTTCAGAGCCGTCTTTGACCTATTGAGACCTTGCGCATATTAGGATAATGGGGCCCCTACGAACTAAGGACTTTGTATTTGATCTGAGGGAAGCCCCTATTGATCGCGGGGCCCTGGGCACTTACCCAAATTGCCCACCGGGAAAGACGGGTCTGTCTGTGTTGATATGGCAGTCAGTCAGTTTCTTCATTTATATAATTAGATTTACCATGACTACCTAATTTAGCACATTAATACCTATGTGTATAAGCCCAAGCTGTGTATTTAGATTTACTCAAGCGCAGCAGAATAACATAGCCCTCCAGCACCTTCTATTCAATAACTAAGGATTTGGATGCGGCCAAAAATCATTTTATTGAAACAAATTTTGCTGCCCTAGACGTTCAGCAATAACATTCTTAGAGGGCTCAAGTGTGGGAGTACCTACTTCACAAGGTACAAGGTTGCCACTATATAAATTATCCTACCGCGTTCGAGTAAGTCGAAAAATCCCCGCCTCGGGGGAACCCAAGATTTTTGGATACTACTTTGTTGAAATCGTAAACTTTGAAAATCGGATACATTCCAGTACTTATCTAAGAGCCGTGCCTAAGAGGAGAAAATTCTGTCCAAATGAGACACGTTTATTTTAAACACATAGTTACAACATGGAGAAATCAGGAGTCATATGAAATTTCATGCAAAATTTCTGATGATACCGAGTAGTTCTGTATACATTAGAAAATTAATAAAAATTCGTACAAAATATATTATTTTTATTTTATCTTGCCATGGATGGATGTAAAATGACAAATTGCCCAAAAATAAAACAAATCCAATGCAAAACTGCAGGTAACCGTTTATTTAGACTTAGGTGTGTGTCCAACAGGCGTAGTTACTGGGTTACAACGAGCAGAATATCTATCTTGCCATTGCAGTTCTTCATCAGTTACTCTTATACTCTCTTCAGCACAAGCTATAAATGCCTCAAAAAATTCAAAGAACGTTAAACTTATGTCAAGGTTCATAATTTTGTTGGCAAAACTTAGCTGTGGGAATATACCCGAGAATATATTAATTATGGCCTTGCTTGACAAATTGCCGAAATTAAATAGTTTTAAATCTTCTACTGATTCGTCGTTGTTATTCTCTTCAACTTCTGGGGCATGTAAATTGTTATCTGTATACATAACAATAAAATTGAAACAACAGAAAGAAAGTGACAGCATCAATTTTGGTCAAACTTAAGTTTGTTGGCTTCTATGAGTGCGGCCATAAAGGAGTTCATGATTATGCATATTTTCCTCATAAGTAAGGGATTATACAATCAATTTTACAAATATTACTTATTTGCTAAGTGGTATACAATTGGCGCTCTAAAGTCGATTTCATAATAGTAGAGGAGCCCAATGAGGGATTTTGGGATTTGCCTACACGAGCGTTGCAGAATAACATAACCTTGCACTGTGAGAAATACCCGAGCAGCTTGGTCTTAGTTAAATTTACTAAGGTTATTGCATGCACTACCTTTATATTAAGTAAATGAAAAATATGAAATGTGTAAAAAAAAAACCGGCCAAGTGCGAGTCGGACTCGCGCACCGAGGGTTCCGTACAAACTCAATTTAATACCTCTACGCGTTCATGAGAAAAGAGGTAGTAACTTTAAAATTTTCAAAAATATTTTTATTATATGATGTAACTAAAAATTTACGGTTTTCGCATTTTTTTCTTTATCTGTACTATAAGACGTACCGGTACGACGTAACTTAGATTCTTGAAATTTGGTACGTACATTTCGTACCAAATTTCAAGAATCTAAGTTCACGGGAAGTACTCTGTAGGTTTTGATTCCCGTGCGAGATTCGAAAATTTGCAGAAATTTGCGGCTTAAACGGCTGTATCTTTTGATTGCTTTGGCTCAGAAGTTTGATTTTTTCACAGCTCCAAGGGACAGTAGACATGAGTATTAGATATGAATTTCAGTTTGAAAAAAGGTCTTGACCGACGGACGGACGGGCGGACGGACAACAAAGTGATCCTATAAGGGTTCCGTTATTTCCTTTTATGGAACGGAACCCTAAAAAGAAACAGAAGGTTCATTTGATTACAGCAGAATTAATCTTCTGTTTTTCTTTTTAAATATATCCACTTCTTCATTTACATCAATTTCTATCCCATAGTAAATATTCATTCATCGAGAGCCAAGCAGTTCAGTCTGTTTTTACTGGCTGTGTTCCGCAAGTAGTTTTTAAGTCTTCTTAGGCTTGAAAACGTCCTTTCTGGTGTAGCAGTGGAAACAGGTATGGTAGGCAATATTTGTGCTACGTGTAAATATTTTTATATAATTTTTGATCGCACTTATATAAGCATTTCAAAGCGGATTATGGAGTTGGGGAGGTGATAGTCACAACTGCTTTCCACACTTCAAGTTCTGATTTGACAACAGACGTACATCTTTCGGGTAACACTGCCGAAAGTGGGAGCCACTCGCGCTCTATAGTGTGGATGGGGATACATAACAATACCATGCCGATACGAAACGAAAATATACGAAGGTTACCGAATGCGATAGGATAAATGACGACGGGCAGCGGCGGGTGGTAGAGGACGAATCCAAAATACATTATTAGTGTAATAATTAGTAATTAAATAAATTATGCCGCTCGCCTCTCCTTATTTTGATATTATTAGTGTTGATATCTTAACTTTTAGGGGGAGGGGGGGCGCCCATGCGCCCATTCCATGCCGTGCCCCACTTAACGGTGCGCTCGCTCTTAGTGCCTTAGTCGTTCGATCTTATATAAAGGGCTCAGGTAAATCCCAAAATCTTGGTAGTTATTAATATGTTTTTTTTATTGTTTTTACAGTTTTATTTGTAAGTACCTATATATTAACTAAGTATGCAGAACAGCACTTGTGTGCACATTCCCCCCGCAAAAATGCTAGAACGATTTCAGTAACAACAGTTGTAGGCTCTATGGCTATTTCCTTTCGCGTCGCGTCCTTATTCCTATATGGGTACAATAAACAATCCTTACTGGCTACGAAAATCATCCTATCACCAAGTATGTACGCGTTCCGTCCGATTGGAAGATTATCGCCAGGAGCGTCTACAAGCGATGGTTGTGGTTTGTCAGTGTCATGCGGCGGTCTTCGCACGGCGCACAGGAAGTCGCGCACTGAGTGAGGCTCGCCAAGACTGCGGTAGAGTGCATACAGTCCCTTTAGTGGTAGGAATTGTCCATACACATCGACCAGGCGACCTGCGTTTGTAAATACGTAGAAAGATATACTTACTTATTCCTAAGTAAGCTAATCTATAATAATAAAAAAAATGTTTATTTGCAATTAAATAGCTAGTAAAGTACCCTTAGTACAAGTTTTACAATTACGAAAACTATGATAGTTTTCGTGAGCTCGCATTCATACTAAGGGTACTGATTTAATTGTTTTCGTTTCAATACAAATAAACAGTATTTCAATTCTATCATTAAAGCATTTGCTTCTTCTTGAATTATAAGTATATTTGGTTACTTTTGACCAAAATGGACATAGAAACATAATTTACATTTACAATTACGAAAACTATGATAGTTTTCGTGAGCTCAAACTTGTTATACGGGTACAGAACATTGTGAAACGTTAATAACTACATTAGTCATTAGACTGTGTCGCAGTTATTAGCGCCCTATCTCGAACATGGTGACTAGCACTTAACAATAAACACTAAAAATATCAAAATTTACATCTATTAATACTTGTCGATGTATATGTGTACTCGTATGTGCGTGCGTGTGTTAGGGAATGAAGACCCGCAGCAAATTTGAAACCCGGCTTGTTCGGGGATTGGAAGTCTTCAAAACTGTGCGCGAGACGATTCGCATTGACTCTCCAGAACAGCATAAAAATGGCTCAGAATTAAGATTTAGTAGATAGTTCCTCAAGAAAGTCTTGCCACCTTTTTGAAGAGCAGGACTACCTCACTTATTTTCCATGCTTTCGGCGTTCTGCCTTTCAGGAGGATGAAAACCTTCCGGAAGACTGAGTATCGAATTACTCTAACCTTACTTTCAACAGATTATGGCGTAGATTATACCTGCCCATAGGAACTCTCAACCACCATATGGATTCAAGTTTTATACGAACTATTTATAAATCTTTAAATTAGTCAGAGGTCATAATTTTTATTATTTTTTAAAGCATGTAACTGCTTGATGTTTAAATCTATAGAAAATATAACTAGAAAAAATTCCACGCGGACCAGGCAGCAGACGGGACTCGAACCCGCACCCTTCGCAATCCGGGCGAATGCACTGACCAATTATGCTACCGCGGCCCTCACGGACCGCGTCGAAATTCTTTCTAGCTATTCTTAAGCTGCAAGGCAGCGCCATCTCTTCGCATTATAGGTAAACCCACAATGTCAAATGAATACTTTTACAAGTATTAAACATTTGAAAGAAGAAATAGCAATTATAGTTATAATTTTTATTATTTTTTAAAGCATGTAACTGCTTGATGTTTAAATCTAAAGAAAATATAACTAGAAAAAATTCCACGCGGACCAGGCAGCAGACGGGACTCGAACCCGCACCCTTCGCAATCCGGGCGAATGCACTGACCAATTATGCTACCGCGGCCCTCACGGACCGCGTCGAAATTCTTTCTAGCTATTCTTAAGCTGCAAGGCAGCGCCATCTCTTCGCATTATAGGTAAACCCACAATGTCAAATGAATACTTTTACAAGTATTAAACATTTGAAAGAAGAAATAGCAATTATAGTTATAATTTTTATTATTTTTTAAAGCATGTAACTGCTTGATGTTTAAATCTAAAGAAAATATAACTAGAAAAAATTCCACGCGGACCAGGCAGCAGACGGGACTCGAACCCGCACCCTTCGCAATCTGGGCGAATGCACTGACCAATTATGCTACCGCGGCCCTCACGGACCGCGTCGAAATTCTTTCTAGCTATTCTTAAGCTGCAAGGCAGCGCCATCTCTTCGCATTATAGGTAAACCCACAATGTCAAATGAATACTTTTACAAGTATTAAACATTTGAAAGAAGATATAGCAATTATAGTTATAATTTTTATTATTTTTTAAAGCATGTAACTGCTTGATGTTTAAATCTAAAGAAAATATAACTAGAAAAAATTCCACGCGGACCAGGCAGCAGACGGGACTCGAACCCGCACCCTTCGCAATCCGGGCGAATGCACTGACCAAAATTATAACTATAATTGCTATTTCTTCTTTCAAATGTTTAATACTTGTAAAAGTATTCATTTGACATTGTGGGTTTACCTATAATGCGAAGAGATGGCGCTGCCTTGCAGCTTAAGAATAGCTAGAAAGAATTTCGACGCGGTCCGTGAGGGCCGCGGTAGCATAATTGGTCAGTGCATTCGCCCGGATTGCGAAGGGTGCGGGTTCGAGTCCCGTCTGCTGCCTGGTCCGTGTGGAATTTTTTCTAGTTATATTTTCTTTAGATTTAAACATCAAGCAGTTACATGCTTTAAAAAATAATAAAAATTATAACTATAATTGCTATTTGTTCTTTCAAATGTTTAATACTTGTAAAAGTATTCATTTGACATTGTGGGTTTACCTATAATGCGAAGAGATGGCGCTGCCTTGCAGCTTAAGAATAGCTAGAAAGAATTTCGACGCGGTCCGTGAGGGCCGCGGTAGCATAATTGGTCAGTGCATTCGCCCGGATTGCGAAGGGTGCGGGTTCGAGTCCCGTCTGCTGCCTGGTCCGCGTGGAATTTTTTCTAGTTATATTTTCTTTAGATTTAAACATCAAGCAGTTACATGCTTTAAAAAATAATAAAAATTATAATTATAATTGCTATTTCTTCTTTCAAATGTTTAATACTTGTAAAAGTATTCATTTGACATTGTGGGTTTACCTATAAAGCGAAGAGATGGCGCTGCCTTGCAGCTTAAGAATAGCTAGAAAGAATTTCGACGCGGTCCGTGAGGGCCGCGGTAGCATAATTGGTCAGTGCATTCGCCCGGATTGCGAAGGGTGCGGGTTCGAGTCCCGTCTGCTGCCTGGTCCGCGTGGAATTTTTTCTAGTTATATTTTCTTTAGATTTAGTCAGAGGTCGTTTTTGAGTAATGCCGATAAAAGATCTTAATGTTACAAATAAAGCCTTATAGATTTTTACAATTTCTAAGAATATGTACATTCAATTGTGCAATTGATTTTGATAAGGCTCTATGAATCCCCAACACTAAACTGTCTATGTTCAGACTTACCTACCTAATTGTTTACTTTTTGTCTAAATTCGTTTGAATCAGATTTATGAAGGGGAATCGGGAATCGTTAGCGAACGTGATTTTAAAATAGAGATATTAAAAGTATCGGTTTTGTTTTTATTTATTTTTTAAGCATTTAACTGCTAGATGTTTAAATCTTAAGAAAATCGATTCGGGTCCTAATCACTGGATTGAGCTCCATAATCCACAAATCATCTCGACAGAACGCCACTACATACCAAGATTGGTCAGGGAAGCGATTGAAATAACCAAACACAAATATTTCAATCGTGAGGATGGGTTTAAATTGTCAAGTGTCTATAATCCAGTGGTTCGTATGTGCAAAAACCGCAAAAATCAAAAAAGTGTCGTTCCGCGATCTGATACTGTGAGCATTGTGTGTCGGGAACAGGTGCGAGTGAATAGTGAAAATGTGACCAATGGTAGGGGTATCGAGCGCAGTAAAAGACGACGTCAGAGGGTAGACCGATATGTCTGCCAATAACATCTACCCGCAATTACTTCAGTTACTCCGTGATCATGGCGCTTGCAACAGTGCCGAAATATCGGAGGCTCATAAAAACAAGGTACATGGTAACAATCCCGTTAATTGCTATAATGTTAGTGACCATGAAAGTTTAAAACAATGTATCTTAAGAAAAGTTTACTAAAAAAAATCCACGCGGACCAGGCAGCGGACGGGACTCGAACCCGCACCCTTCGCAATCCGGGCGAATGCACTGACCATTATGCTACCACGGCCCTATTAGCCGCGTCGAAATTTTCCTAGCCTTAAGCTGCAAGGCAGCGCCATCTCTTCGCATTGTAGGTAACCCACAATGTCAAATGATTACTTTTTCAAGTATTAAACATTTGAAAGAAGAAATAGCAATTATAGTTATGTTTTTATTTATTTTTTAAGCATTTAACTGCTAGATGTTTAAATCTAAAGAAAAGCTTACTAGAAAAAAAAATCCACGCGGACCAGGCAGCGGACGGGACTCGAACCCGCACCCTTCGCAATCCGGGCGAATGCACTGACCATTATGCTACCACGGCCCTATTAGCCCATTTAAAACACTTACATTCATTCATCTCGCTTATCAATTGTACTTTCTAGGACTTCTTTAAATATATAATACGCTCTCAACGTATACAGCTTAGTAACTTTCCAAATTACTTAAATACAAGCTAATCAATTGGCGAATCATTTGGCAGTCTCGGGAAGTACCTTACCTCCCCCTTACAATGTGTACAAGAACAAGACAGTGAAATAATACGTTCGTTTGGGTGGTGTTGTGTTGCTGTCCTTGAATGAAGTTCTCCAGATCCAGATGACGCGATTTTCACGCGTTCCGTACTTCATGACGCGATCATAAGGCTAAGCAAGAATAATTCATTAGAACACGGATCTATGAACGTTAAAAACACGTGTGAGTCGCGCGCGTAAATCGAGTTATCTGGACATACTAGGTAATAGGGTTATTACCTAGTATGCATTACATTACATTCATAAGAATATCCTGGAATCTTCTCCTGCGGATACCTGGAAGTTTCTACGTACTCTCGGCATTGGAAAATCACAACTTCGTCATAAGCCTTCTTTTCCGTTAAATGAGCTAAATAAACACTTCACTTCTATAAAACCTGTTCTTCCCAATGTCAAACTCTCCACTATCTCTGTTCTTTCTTCCAAGGTTCCCTCAACAACTTCACAATTCTGTTCTAGTTTCATAACTGAGGATGAAATCCGAAAGATAATTCTATCCATAAAATCTAACGCTGTAGGCTGCGCTAATATAAGTCGTACAATGATCATCTCAATACTAGATTCTGTACTTCCTGTTCTGACTCATATTTTTAATTTCTCACTAACATCTTTTTCCTTTCCTGATCTCTGGCATAAGGCCTTAACTCTCCCACTACCTAAAAATAATAGTCCCGTTTCCCTTAGTCAATATAGGCCTATCTCTATTCTTCCATTTTTATCTAAGATCATTGAAGCTGCAGTCCACAAACAACTCACTTCATACATTAATTCTAATAAACTTCTTTGCCCTTTCAATCTGGTTTTCGTCCCGGCCATAGTACTACTACTGCTCTCACCAAAATCCTTGAAGATGTCCGGGATGGCCAGAAAAATTCTCATCTGACACTGTTAATTTTAATTGATTTTTCAAACGCTTTTAATGCTGTTGATCATGATATTCTCATAGCTGTCCTTTCTCGACTAGGATTCTCATCCTCAGTGCAGAAGTGGTTCACTTCTTATCTTCGTGATCGCTGGCAGGCTGTTCGCTTCGATCAGGAGTTATCTAGTTGGCGCGAGCTGACTGCCGGTGTTCCACAAGGCGGAATTCTTTCTCCTTCGCTTTTTTCCCTTTTCATTAATACTCTTACAGAACTTCTTACTTCCTCTTACCATTTGTATGCTGATGATTTACAACTATATGCAAGTACTGATAACTTTCATTATAATGAGGCTGTCGCAGTTTTAAATCATAATCTCAGTGTGATCAGAGACTGGTCGGCTAATTTTGGTATCTCAGTCAATTCAAACAAGTGTCAAGCGATCATTGTTGGCAGTTCACGTCTACTGTCGCAAATTGACTTTACTCAGGTTAATTCAATATTCTTTGACGGTGTTACTATTCCTTTCTCGGCTCTAGTAAAGGACTTGGGTTTGATGGTCGACGAAATACTTTCCTGGATAGACCATGTCTATTTCGTCTCGCATAGGGTGACCAATTCTCTAAGATCTCTTTACAGATTTAAGTTCTTTCTGCCCACTCGTACCAAGATTGTCCTTGTTCAATCTCTCATTCTTCCTATCATCGATTACGCCGACATATATGTTATCCCGATATTAATGAAAATCTTTTGAATAAGTTGGATCGCCTTTTCAATAACTGCATCCGCTTCATATATGGCTTATGTAAATACGACCATATTTCACATTTTCGTCATCAGCTCAACTGGCTTCCTATTCGTGAGCGTAGGAACCTCAGAGTTGTTTGTGCCCTTTTTAATCCTCTCTTCGATCCACATACACCGGTTTACCTAAAAAGCAGATTTAGGTTTCTGAGTGATTCTCATGACCGTGTTCTCCGTTCAACGGACAATCTCCTTCTGTATACTCCCGTCCATTCTTCTGGCTTCGTCTCCTACTCTTTCACTGTCACGGCTGTACGTCTCTGGAATGACTTGCGCTCCAATATACGTAAAGCTCCTAACAAACTTGCATTTAAGGGATTGGTTCGTGAGCACTATCTCAATAGCATTAAATAAACAGCGTTCTCATGTTTGACTGATATAATCGTGTACTTATGTATGTATTCTATATATGTATGTGTGTATATGTATTTATATATATGTGTATAATATGTAAGTGTGTATATGTATGTATATAAGTGTGTATAATATGTATGTATTCTGTTAAAAGTATTTGTATCATAGGTTTATCTTAAATTTGTCTTTATTGCGCCCCCGTCATATTAGTTTTTTTCTTACGCTCTTACTGGTCGACTGGTAGAGAATGCCTTATGGAATTATGTCCGCCATTTGCTGTGTAATTTTGCAATAAAGTTTAAATAAATAAATAGGGTTAAGGTAGGTAGGCAACGCAAGCGATCATAAGCTATGATTTCCGCTTACCATTACCATCAGACAAGGCATAAGCTTCTTTGCTACACTTTTTACAGTAAATTTTTAGTAGTTAAATGAATTTCTAGTCGCTTTGAATTACCTTTTCGTCGACCAATGTTAGGCAATATGTCTCTTTCCATAAAAGATCTAAAGCCGCTCGCTAAGATCGTGTCTGGTTTTGGCCCTGGTAATTCTCTTTTAGCATAAAGTTTGCTTGCTATTGATATAAGACTATGTAGAAATTGCCAAAAGTAAATTTTCTCAAAAGGATTGTGTGCTGATTTTGATAACCATTCCAGATTGCGATGAAACATTTTGTCGATATCTATAAGCGTTAAGCCTTTTTCGTGAATGTTACAATCATAATAGAACTGCCACAGAAACAAACGTATGAGTACAGGTGTAAATTGAATCTCCTCAGTATTGCAAACTGTAGCATACTGATAATAAATTTTTTTCAAGTCTATTTCGTAACATCTTATTGCTTTTCGTAACGAATCTTCTTCAAAGTCTATTAAACCATCAATATTCATAACTGAGCTAGGTTCACCTTGACGAATGGCATCTTTGCGCATGGCCATATTAAGATCAGCGTCAGTTAGTTTGTTATTTTTTATATAATCACTGATCATATTTTCCCGAACTTCTATCTGTTTGTCAATGTTTCTTAGTGCATCCTCTACATGGAAATAATATCCTACGGAATTGTCGCAGATATCAAACTTGTATGGATCGTCTAAAGATATTTGTTTGCTTTCATTAGAATTACAAAAGTCTTCATCCGATTTCATAGTTCCGAAGTTATCATCGATAAATAATTGCTTATTTTGAAGTATCATTCCATTATTAGTAACAAATTGCCCTACGCCATGTTTATTATTATTCTTGAATTCACCTTTGTAGTAAGAACCCATACCTAAACCCAAATTTAAAATACCGTACCCACTGCGTTGACCTTTCAGCCAGTTTCCTCGATATGCACATACGGAAGGCAATGCCAGCGAATTATTATAATAGGCATCCCATATGTAAATACCATACCCGGACATTACACCGTTTTTCCATTGACCGCTGTAAAACTGAATAAAATCAAGTTACAATAAGTCAGTCAAAAAGTCAAGGTACTTATCTTAATATATATAATTCTTCTGTGAGTGTGTATGTCACTGAACTTCTCTTAAACGACTGGACCGATTTTGATGAAATTTTTTGTGTGTGTTCAAGGGGATCTGAGAATGGTTTAGATTCACAATTTTGTCCGCTGGACAACCCCTATTTTTTTAGGGCGGTACGAAGTTCGCTGGGTCAGCTAGTTAGGTATAAATAAATATGATAATCATCATCACCAGCCTATTAATGTCCCCACTATTGGGCCACAGACCTTTCCAATTAATGGAATACGGAGAGTGGGTCATGACATGACCACCACGGTGGACTGCTGGGTGCTAATGATTGCAGATCAGTCGGGACCAGCGGCGTAACGCGACTTCCTAAGGACAATCTGCCATCCATCGACCGACCATTGCGAAAGTTACTTAACTTCCACGATCACAATCCGAACACTCTACAAGACCTGCGTCTATGTTAATGTTATATTTTATGAAATTTATCACTTATTTCGATACTGATAAGAAGGACTTACGTCATGATTTGGCCAAATCATTATGCCATTTCCTTCTCTTACGTATTGATCCCATTCTCCTTTATATCCACTCTGATGAGAGTATTCGCGAGACCCAAATCCATCACGTACGTTCTAGATATTGAATTAATGTAGGTTATTATTATGAACCTGGAGGCTACATGTCTTACTTTTAATTTCGATTTTACCTATAAGGCTAAAGTAAAACAGTCAATATGAAATAACAATAGCTGCTTCCCAATCATGAAATAAACAGGATTGCGGAAGGCAAAAATTAAACAATTATGCCTCAGGTAAGTATTTTATATTTAACTTTTCTGAAATAAGTAATAACTTGCCTGAGCTGGGAGCGGAAATGACATTACCTTAATGCAAAAAAAATAATAACAGAAACATAGCACAACATTATCTACCTTTATGGGTAATTCAGTTGCCGTCCAAATTAATATTTGGAGAGCAGGGGAGGGTTAACTGTTTTACCGCGCCTAGAAACCAATCCAGATTCGGCTCTTATGGGCTATGACAACATTTTACACTATTTCCAGTTATTGATTTCGATCCAAACAATACCAAAGGGCTCCATTATACATATTTTTAGTTAAGCATTATAAACCTACTTACATGATCCCAATGTCCATCGTAGGAGTTTTTAAAAGATTTAGAAAAATGTATGACTCCTTCTCCATGTTTTGTACCATTGAACCAACCTCCAGCATAGCACCGTTGATTTCTCGAATCTACGTAGAGCCCCCGTCCATGTCGGATATTACCAACAAAGTCACCTTCATACCAAGAATCATCTTTCCATTGAATCATACCTTTTCCAGAAATCTTATTGTCCTTAAAATCACCCTTTAAAGAGACAATAGTTAAATCAATTTAAATCACAAGGACTTTATATACTTACGGCTTTACCTGCACTTGCATATTGCACCACAAAAGACATCCAAAATATCTAAGTACAAAGAAAGTGTGCCTTTAAACATCGGTTGGAGTTAGTGCCTTGAAATTAAACTGAAATTTTAACTTTCTGCAGTCTAAAAGATGACTAGAAGGACCATAGAACCAGCCGCAAACGTTGATCAAGTTACAGTACATACCTACTAGTTAATAATGAAAGTAAAACGCTGGCCAAAAAAAATGTTAGAGAAGCAAAGAGGTAAATAATAATTTTGCTTACCAAATATACAGTCCCATTTGCCCACTGGAAGCGACCGTGCCCGTGCATACATTTCATTGATATGGATCCTTCATAAATATTACCATTTCGGAATTTTATTATGGCACGCTCATCTGGCGACGACCACCATATCTGCTGCATTGGGTCTATCTACCATAGTGAGGTTAGGGGCACGGATTAAAAGAATACAGCAGTGCATCCCGTTGAAGGAAATATCAAATATATTATAAGGCTTCTACTCCAAAATAACGTTATTCTGTTGATCGCTCTGGTGCTTTTTGTTTATTAATAATTAAGTTATTTTTGCAAATAAGAAATCGTGTGAGAATGTGTTTTTTCTTATTGTCTCTCATTTTATGCAAACGGTTTACGAGATATATATGTTTGAAATTATGGTGACCAGAGCGATCAATAAATGATGAAATGATGAATCAAATACTATTATAAATTATAGAAAAACCATTAATTTAAATAATATTATTATTCAAATATACCCGTAAATGAACTAGAAAAAATTATTAGAAACCCGCTATATATATACAGGGTGAAATTGAATGTTTCTATGAAACTTCGTGAGATTGATGGGTTACGTGTATAGAGTATGTCTGATTTTTTTCGGATTTTTTAAAATAATTTTTTTCGTTTTTTAATTTTTTATTTGGTTATTTTTTTGTCATTTCTTCCTTATGAGTAATTATTCATTTTAAACACGTCTACATAGAAGTTATAAAGCAACTTAAAATAAGCACTACTAAAAAAACGGAAACTTAATGAATGCCTTCATTATGCCTCCAGTCGAGATCAGCGCCGGTCGGGGCGACGACCGGCGGCCGCCTGTAGGTACCTATTACACGCACAGATGACTCGGCGCTTACCTACTCTCCGCTTTGATCCACACTATTTAAAAACAATACAATAAAATAGTCTTAGATGCTATATTATAATTATTTATTCACTGATACACAATACCTTTGAATATTATTTAAAGCACAGGTAATTAATCAATAAAATAAATCTTAAATCTTAAAATTAAGAGCAAATCGGTATAACTTACGAGCTTAGTGAAGGAAGGAACTCTTCGTGTCTGATTTGCCCACGTCATGAAATTCCGAACACATTTAATCACAGCCACAGTCACACATACACACACACACATAATAATATGTTGTTTTGCGGCAAGCACGGGCGGGCGGTGCGCCGCACGCTGGCAACTAGCGCCGGTTGCGGCGTCTTTGATGATGTGAATTCCGCTCACCTCCCCTCTTCCCCGCACGCGGACGTTTGCTTTGATTGCATGGAAAACGCAGTCGCAAGTATAAATCGCGCGTGATCGTGCGCATCTTTTGACTTGGTGACATACACTGTGATAATTTCATTATGCCTCGGTATGCAAACCAAGAATATTTAGAGATGGTGTACTGCTATCGCGAGTGTGACGAAGTAGGTTTGGTTTACGATTGAGTCCCCAAACCATAGAAGTTGCATTTTGTGCAGTGAGTAGTGATAGGGACACTTTAAAAAAGGTGAAAAGACACGTCCGCAAACATGCCTACCTTTGTTTGCAGCAAAATGGTGGTTTAGAGCAACAATTTTGCAGATAATAATTTAAGTCTCTTTTTATTGCTAGTGTAAATACTTTTTGATTAGAAACAACTAATTGTGTACTACCAGTGTGATTGATTTGATAAAAAGTTCTAGTGAAAAAAATGAATATGTTCCTCGTTCCTCGTTGTACCTACCTACATCGCCGGTCTCGTAAGTACTTTTGAATACCTGGTTATAAATTTCATTCTGACCCAAGTATTAAGCAATAAGTATTTCTTTTTGTTTAACATTTGCCTATTTCCAAACGTGACAAAATTATTATTAACTTTTAAAGTTTTTCTCTGCTTAAGAGAAGATGACATTTGTGCTTATTATTTCAATTTCAATAAAGGCATCTAAGACGATTTTATTGTATTGTGTGGAATCAAACGAGTCAGCTGAGCTCTGTGTAGAGTTAGGTATCTACTCACTCAACGGCTGGCGGGCGCGGTCGGTCGTTGACGAGTCAGCTGAGCTCTGTGTAGAGTTAGGTATCTACTCACTCAACGGCTGGCGGGCGCGGTCGGTCGTTGACGAGTGGAATTTCAATGTTTTTCCGTTTTTTAGAAGTGCTTATTTATTAGTTGTTTTTCACTGGATATGTAAGTTTGTTTGTTTAAAATGAATAACTACTCAAAACGAGGAAAGGACATAAAAATACACAAATTATAAATAAATACATGAAAAAAATATACTTCAAAAAAATCCGAAAAAAGACAGGCATACTCTATACACATAACCCAACAATCTCACGAAGTTTCATAGAAACATTGAATTTCACCCTATATATATATATATATATATAGCGGGTTTCGGGGTGAGCCAGCGTAAAACCAGAACTCGAGTGGGCGTTGCCGAGACAGACTCAGTCTAGGGGGAGGCATCATTCGAATCGATGCCTAGAGGATTGCATCGACTCGCCGGTAAGAGAGTCTCGTAGAAACGGTTGACCCACTGGCCGCCCGTGGCACAGTCCAGGGCCCGAACGTTCCTAACCAGTTCGCGAGGCTGCCCCATCATGCTACTCTTCATCATCAACATATCGTAAGAAGCTTTTCTTCATCATCATATCGTAAGACGCTTACTGATCAGTCCGGCACCACTCGCATCCAGCGGTTTCCTGCGATCTTTACCGACAATCTACGTCGGTCCATCTCGCGGGGAGCCTGCCCACTAAGCGTCGCGTCGTCCGGTGCGTGGTCGCCATTCAAGAATCTTTCTACCCCAATTGCAATCTACGTGTCCCATCTATTGCTACTTCAGCAAAGCAATCCGTTGAGCTAGCGAAATATTGGTTATTTTGGTTCTCCTACGGATTTTCATCAGTTCTGATTCTATCGTGTAGTGATACCAGTATCGTTCTCACCACTGTTCGCTGCGTGACTTTGAACATTCTTATGAGACCCGTGGTAAACGGCTACGTTTCGCTTCCACAGGTCATTCCTGGTTACACATATTGGTCAAATGGTTTTGTCTTGAGACATTGAAGTAGATGGGACGTGGAGATTATACGTATTTTTATTAGCTAGGTAGGCAAATGACTCGATCCCACTTGATTTTAAGTGATGGCAAAGTCCAGACGCTAAGATAGCTGGTGCAGCAGTTATAAACTCCCACACCAACCATCCTCACCTTGTGGGCCTGCAGAAATGCTTGTTCACTTCTCTTTTAAAGGACCCCAGATTGTAGGAATACACGTGCGCTGGCAAAGAATTCCACTTGCGAATAGTGCAGCAAAAAAATGAGTCACTTTTATTTCCCGAACGCTGCTCATCTGAGCTGGAGTTGACGAGAGATCTCTTTTTTGAAGTTGGACTTACCTAACTAGACTTCTTGACCCAGGAAGTGGTCAACAACTTCGAGTGTAGTAGTAGTATTCGCAATTTTAACTGGAATGGACTACATGGGCATTCGCCATGATTTTCGTCTTATCCATGTTCATCTTAAGACCCACTCTTCGGGAAGCACTACTGAAATCTCCAAGATCTTCCAATGTCTCAGCCATAAATATCTGCTACTTTATATGTAAGGTAAATGAAGATTTAAGGAACCTAGTTTCTCCATGAAGACAAAACACGCATTTTTTCCCGTTTAGAGAACTAGCCATAAATGAGAAAATGAAATAACATAGAGAGAGTTTGAGAAACATTGTATAACTTTTATCCCAAAAAACATCCTTTGTAGGAGGGTGAAAACGAGGATGACGAAGTCCGGCGCACTCGCTAGTAATTCATATTATAGAGAACTACAGTCTTATCATTATTCTTAAGTATTTTATTCGAGGGGTGGTACATCGACAACGAGGCCGAGCAATATTTATTAAAAAATAAAAATATAACAACAATTAGGTTGTTGTTGAAAAAGAGTGTGTGTGTCTGCTGTGTCTGCCACCATTAATAAGTTATGGCCATTATAAAAATGTTTTTAATTTGCATTTTAAGTCAAATTGAAAGTATGTAAATGTAGATGCACTGTCAGAGCAAAATAGTTCCTTAACTTCATATATTTGCAACATTTGTTAATATGATAGGGGCCAAAACTTATTATCTCGAGCTGCTCCGTGTTTCAGTTGGTCTCAGTTGCAACAGCAGAAGTTAACACCAACCAACCGGCATTGGGTTTGGGTGGTAGATCACGCATGGGTGGCAATATCCCTAACCCATCTGTAGGAATGATCTGTGCCCTAGCAGTGTAGACTGGTGTTGATGATGTTGGAACTTTTCTATGGCTATAAAATGAATGTATGTAGTTTACATTTGGGGTGTCGTTGAAAATCTGCTATTTAAAATTTCATTGAATAAGACTTCAATAGGAAATCGTTATGATCATTGGCTTTAAACAGATATTTATATAAGTATACCTATTTACCTGAGCCACGTCAGAAGATTCAACTTTAGATCGTCTTGATGATTTCTGAGGTTTCACTAAAAACATTAGTACAAATAAAATTAATTGGTTGGTATCACTTTGACAAAGTCATAGGTAAGTAATTAATTCAATATCGAATACATAGGTAAATTAAATGTTTTTCATACCAATACTTTTCCTTTCTTTCTTTCTACCGGTGTAAGTAAGTTCACTCGGGGTTTTCTCAAATTGCATTTGATTGGCTCCTTCTAATTTTGGTGGTACGATGACTGTCCAAGATTCCACAATACAGTCCAACATAGACTCAAACATCATAGTAATAAGTTCGTTCCTAATGGAACCTTTTGGTCGGACAACATCTGATACTACCGATTCGCTCGCGAGAGGAAAGATCAATTGAGGAGGAGCTAGTGATAATACGTCGTACTCGGTTTTGTCATCACCGACTGTCCCCCGTGATGTAAGTAGGGAACTTTCGCGTCTTGTGAGAGCCCTTTGTGAATCAACGTAATACATCACCTCATCAAAGCCTCTGCAAGGTTTAAATAGCTCTAACTGCTAGCAAATCTAAACAGCTGATGCTATTAAAGAAAACATTTCAAAATAATAATTGTCAAAATCGCCTGCCAAATGTCAAATAATAGTACCACCATAAGCTTCTTGACCACCATAGATACATGATTGGTCTCGCTTCAATCGACTGAAGCGAGACCAATCATTCATCTATGAGTAACACGTCAAATTAATCAAAGAGACTATCCTACGTATGAGACAAGTATTCGAAAATTAAAGCATAAATATTATTTAAAGATACCTTTGAGTTGAGAGACTCAAACACTAACATTAAATGCAAATTTTTAAGGACGACCTTCTTGGTGAATCGAAAAAATAGTGTTAAACCAACCAGGATTACAGCACGCTAAATCACTATTTTACTCGAAAAAACGGACGGATGAGTTAATAGAACTTAGCAGGCCGCAGGGTTAATCAATTTGATTTTTAAACTATAACGGTAAGCAGCATCGATTTTTTAATAATTGTCATAAGTAGTTGCGGCGCACAGCACAGGGTAAAAGATAGAAAAAGCTAACTACTACTTACATATTTTCTTATAAACATAAATCTAAAAGAAAACACTCATTTAAGTTTCAAATTGGTGTACTTTAAAAAGAATTTTAATTTTGTTTTTCAGTTTACGTCTTTGTTGACTGTGGCGCTCTTGAATAACAGCGTGATGCTTATCAATCACACTCTCAAGTGAGTCAGAATCTGAAGGGCGTATTAACTCATTAAGAAGTCGACCTAAAACAGAAAAAAAATGTTACATGTAGGAAAGCAACATAATTTTATCAAGTTTGATAACTTTGCAAACTGGTTCGGAGTCAAGATGTGAACTATTGTAGTGAGCAATAATGGTTTCGTCTAAATAAGAGCACAGAATAAAAACTTTAACACGAAAATTAAACGACCGAAAAGTAAAATATAATAAACCTTTTTTACTTTAGTCATATTAATACTTAGAGTCGGTGCCAGGCCAACCCAAGTAACAAAAGGGAACTCGGATCAATCAGACCTACATGGCACCGCCTCCAAATATTAATTTGACTAAAGATAAAACATGTTTATTATTTGTTACTCTTTGGCGGTTAAAGATTTTTGTTAAAAAGGTTTTATTTAACATTTTTAGTAGGTATAATTTCTGTAATATGCAACTAGGAATCAAAGTCTGTGAGTGAACAATCACCCTATTTTCCCACTCTTACAGTAGTATTTTTTTTCAAATTTATGTGAGACCAACTGTGATGTATAGCTCGTTTGACGACCTCCGTGGCCGAGTGGTTTGTACGCCGGGTTTCAAGGTGTTACTTACTCGAGAGGTCCCGGGTTCGAAGCGCGGTAGGGGCAGATGTTTGTGTGTTAATTCTAGGTAGGCTAATAAATTGGTGTGAGTTTTGGAAATATTTATTTACGTGTGGTCATGGATTACAATCAGTGAGTAATCAATAATTCCCTGTTTTCATACCTTTAGGGTTAGATTTTTTCCATATTCATATAGGATAGGACTAGCTTCAGGGTATACCCTTTCTAATAAAAAAAATATATGAAAATCGGACTACTCTGTAAAAAGTTATGCGTGGTCATACATAAAAAACACACAAATATATAACATTACTAGCTGTCCCAGCGAACTTCGTACCGCCATAAAAAAATAGGGGTTGGTGGTAGAAAGGTGAAAATTTAGGATTGGATGTATTTTTGTAGGATGTATCATTAAAAAATAAAAAAAAATCTAAAATTGAAAAAATAAAATTTAGGGGTGGATTACCCTTAACATTTAGGGGGATGAAAAATAAATGTTGTCCGATTCTCAGACCTACCCAATATGCACACAAAATTTCATGATAATCGGGACAGCCGTTTCGGAGGAGTTTAACCACAAACACCGCGACACGAGAATTTTATATATTAGATAACTAGTCTGGCCATAAATACTGTTAAATAAAAACTTTTCTTTTTTTCAACTTTTTAATTATTTTGTATTTGGAACACGTAAATTATTTTAAAAACTTCTTTCGATTTTACGCTGTTTTACATATTTTATTCGTGTCTATCGTGGTGTCCATTATCAAATTACAATATGGAATGGGGTGTCCTTCTGTCGCGATACAGAGATATCCTCTTTACTGATGGAAAACATTTCACGATTGAAGAACACTACAATAAGCACAATGATAAAGTGTACGCTCACAGTTCTAAAGAAGTTGCTCAAGTGGTCGTAAAGGTACAACGTGGTCAGCATCCTGCGTTAGTGATGGTTTGGTGGGGCGTGTTTTATTAAGGAGTCACAAAACTACATTTTTGTGAAAAAGGAGTGAAAACTTCCGCCAAAGTGTATCAAGATAGTCTTGGATGATGTTGTGAAATCTCTCAGCAATACACTTTTTAAAAATATACCGTTGCCTTTCCAGCATGATTCTGCACCTGATCAAAAGGCACGAACTACCCAAGCTTGGCTTGATACTAACGTTCCGGACTTTATAAGAGCTGAAGACTGGCCCTCATCTAGCCCAGACCTCAACCCTTTAGACTTCAAATTATGGTCAATTTTAGAGGACATGGCCTGCTCTAAACGATACGGTGACATTGAGTCTCTTAAAAAATCTTTGGAGCAAGCAGTTTCGAAATATTTTTTGAAACAGTGCGTAAATCCATAGATTCGTGGCCAAACAGATTAAAGGCCTATATAAAAGCCAAAGGTGGCCATTTCGAATAGAATATTTTTTTGATGTTTTACTGAGACTTTAATAAATATGTAGGTATAAATAAAATAAAAAAATAAATTCATTAAAAAAAACAGCCAGCCTTACAGAAGTCGCGTACCTCACCTTATATTATTAAAAAAAAACCTACTACAAAAGGAATAAGCCATTTGAACACTAGTTCTAAAATCAAATCAAATAGCGCGCGCTTTCGCGACTTCCTTTTTCACGAAATCACTCCCTCAAATTGCAGGAAAGCGAGAGGAAAGATGTTACACATCATACGCGTTGAATTGAGAACGTGTTGAGAACCTCCTACGTTTTTTTCGTTGGTTAATAAAAGTAGACTAATGCCAACTTGCACCAACACTTACACGAATATTTTTTTAGGTCAGAAGGAGTTAAGTCAAGATAACAGAACGAGTTACAAACAATTACCTAATTTCAACAGCCTCTCAGGCTTCCAGTGGCGCCAGACGGTGAAAGCCCGATCGAGGTCGGAATTAGCAGACGCTTCCGTTGAGTTCTTTGAAGGCACTTGCCGGATTTCTTCTTCATTCTCTCCATTCACCCGCATTAGGCAAATGACAGATAAAATCACTATCACCTGATTAGAAATACAAACCATAACTGTTATAATAGCACAAAGTAACTAGGTAGGTACACTTTATTCACTAGTTCATTTTAATTTACCTTAAAATGGCGAAATTCACTCATTTTTTAATTTCTTCAATAACGTTGAAGTATTATCCGGCTTGAAATTATACACGAATGAATAGAAACAATACTGTGCTATCAGTTTTATGAACTTTGAAAATTAGACCGGATGGCTAGATATTTCATATTAGGACACGCACTTCATAAGTACCTAAGTACTGAAGCAATTTCAGTGAACCATATCCAAGTGTTGTAAAACTGTATTTAGCAAATTTCTATCATTTAATATTACAGTTTATATATTCAGATGCCCGTTAACTCTAATACCTACTTTGTAATTAAGGTAGGTACTTACATACCTACATAAATAAATTGAAACGAATGAAAAATGGAACTAAATATAGCAGGGAAGTGATTATAATCATAACAGAAATCTGTAATAATAATAATGTAAGGATGGTTTAACTACAGAACGATGAGTGTTCATAAGATTCATGTTTAATCAAAACCATGATAGGTGTTACTGTATACACTTGAACGAATGTACGGTCTGAGTCAAACCTTCAAACAATTTGTGTAACACTAAGGCCCTTTCTTTTATTGTAAGCTATTATCCATTTTTCGAAACAATTTAAGTACAAAATATTCAATTTGGACATAGAGAGTTGAATTTTAATTTGAACACACCTGGTGTTCACATTTTTGTAGGCTTTATTTCTATCGTATGTGAACAGCACATGCCCGTTTTTTTCTAACTCTGGGCTCTGGCTAGTGTTGCCAGGTGTCCCGATTTGCGCGGGATGTCCCGATTTTCAGGGGTCTGGGGATGCGTCCCGATTTGTACCTGATCATAATATATTTAGGTAATTAATATAATACTATACTTGCACTAGTAGTTTAAAACGCAATTAATTAAACCCAGACTGTTTTTTGTTTACTATCCCGATCTGTAACCCTAAATCCCGATTGTTTTGACCTCACGTACCGATTTAAAACAAATCGGACCTGACAACATTAGCTCTAGCCGCCTTGCAGTAAATTTGCTGAATCTAGGTTCAACTAAAACTAGATTACAATTTAGTGTAATGCTTAGCAGGAAATATTACTTGTATGACTGTATCTCTCTAAACCGAAATCTTCTTTGAAACGAATCACTGTCGTAAACCTCAAAAGGATTTGATTTTTTCACGTAAATACCTTCGCGCCGGATTATATGGTTCATCATCAATAATCTCAAAATCAGACATAATTCTCGATAAAAACAACTTGAAAACACCTTAAACACCACTCGAGGAAGCCTTAAAGTACGTCGAGAGCTACCTTGAGTTTGACAGTTTATTCCTCGACTCGACCTCCACTCGAGTGAGGAATATCTCAAGTGAAGGATATTTTTATTGTCTAAGCATACGAATTTCCTCGAATGAGGTTGAGTCGAGTGGAAAAAATTTCGAGGAAACGACTAAGAATATGGGTGTTGGTGTTTTGTGTAAGGGTAGTTAAAAAAATAATGTGTTGGTGGAGGAAGGATTTATCATCAGGAGCGAAAACGTAACAGCAATGCATCCATCAGTAGCCCATTCCGTGACCATGACTAGTGTAACCTGTACCCTTAGTACGAGTTTGAGCTCACGAAAACTTATCATAGTTTTCGTAATTGTAAATTATGTTTCTATGTCCATTTTGGTGAAAATTAACCAAATATACTTAAAATTTAAGAAGACGCAAATGATTAAATAATAGAATTTAAACACTGTTTATTTGTATTGAAACGAAAGCAATAAAATCAGTACCCTTAGTACGAGTGCGAGCTCACGAAAATTAACATAGTTTTCGTAATTGCAAAACTCGTACTAAGGGTACGGTCGAAATGTCGGGATAAATAAGTTACAAAAACCTTTAATAATGTCCGCGTTTTACCTGGATAATATATTCTAATGAACCAGAAGTGAAATTGTTTTTTTTAAAAAAAAGAACACGGCAATGGCACAAACTATATGATTTTAATTAATTACAAATTAAATAATTGAAATTATAGATAGCCCTAAGTATCCCAAGAACGTCCGTCGCCTCCGAGAGCTCGAGCATAAGTGAAGTCCCGCGCAAACGGCTCCTCTTTCATAGCAGTTTCCCGCAAAACCCGATGACAGGTCACGTGATCAGTCGTCACAGTGACGTAGCGGCTGTTATTTCTAACACGGCCTCTCCTGATGATGCGGCGTCCTAGACCGCTGGTTCTGCAGTGCCACCGTCCTCCAGAAGCTGCTCCTCCTGCTCCTCACAGCCCTGGCTCTATGAAGCCTCATCTTCACCATCTTGGTATTCATGAAGCTGCTGCACGCAGCCCCGGCTCGTCGAAGGCTGGTCTGCATCGCCTTGGACAGCTGGAAGCCGCTCTGCGCAGCTCTGGCTTACTGAGGGCTGGTCTCCCGATTGTAGGTCTTCACCGGCCTGGTCAGACACCTGGTCGGTTTCATTTGCCTCTGAAACATACATCAGGCATTAGCTCACTTGTTCGATCTATTACTTTGAAATAGATTTTATGTTGCAAATGGAAAATTAATTGAAACTGTCTCCCTGGTACAACCACAAGCGTGCACTCAAGTGATCACACCCGAGGAAACAGATGTAATGATAAATGAATAATCTTAAAATTTTAACTTTAACTGGAAACTTTAAACTTTATCTTAAAAATTTTAATCTTAATGTAAAAAGATATAGGTAAGTAATGTACTTGGCCACTAAAATAAAATTAAACAAAATAAGTTTTATGAACAATGGTTCCGGATTCCATTATTCATAAAATAGTAGAACCCTTTGACAGAGGCTATATTTGCATGTCAAAACGTAAAATTATACAAAAACCCAATATTGCAGAAGCCATGTTTGCTTGCTACCCATACACAAAAGCACGTTTTGCGTGGTTTGTGTCTGCCTGGACAAAGCCAAACTAGTCAAAAAAAAATAACCCACCCAACATAGCAGAGGCCGTATTTGCATGCTGCCCATACACAAAAGCACGTTTTGCGTGGTTTGTGTCTGCCTGGACAAAGCCAGAACCTGACAGAGGCAATCTTTGCGTGTCAAGAACGTATACCTACGCGTAGGCCCAAAGTAGCCATAGCGTCTGCCTGGACTCAACACCTTCGAAAAAGGCTTCGCATGTTTCGGGAGTCCACTCTCCTCGCCATCGGACCATGTGCTCGGCGGCTGCCTGGGTCTTCTTGCCATAAGCTCCCGCCAGCAACTCCAGCTCGTATCGGTGATGTGGCAGAGCCCGCACAACCCGGTAGGGGCCGCGCATGCCGAAGTCCAGCTTTCCAGCACTTTGCGATGTCTTGCTCACGAAAGCAAAGTCGCCGACAGCATACTGGTGTGGCTGCCTTCGACGCTCGTTCACGTAAGCGTCCTGGCGCTGCTGATAGGCTGTCAACAATTCAGAAGCTCTCTGCCTTCGCAGGCTTAAAAGGGCGTCACGGTTAGGATTAGAGTTTTGTAATGCCACGTCTCTTATCAACGACCTGATAACAGGTGTAGCGGCCTCAATACCCACCAAAAGTTGCAACGCAGATGTTTGAGTAGTTGCGTGTTTTGTAATATTCAATGTCAATTGAACTTTCCATAAAACATCCGCCTACTGGGAACCCTTGGCCCTCACTTCAACACGCAGCATTTTAGTACCGTCCGACAGTATCTTTCTACCTGCCCATTCTCACGATGCATTTCAGGTGTAATAAAATGCACCGAGGAACCTAAATCGCGCGCCCAGTTTTGGAAAGCTGTACTTTCGAACATTCTACCCCGGTCACAACTCGTGTGAGGGGTTCCAAATAACGAGACAACGTTAGAGAAAACACGTTTCAATTCCTCAGCATCTTGCCGGTATAGGGAGTAAAGGAAACAGTACTTTGAAAACGCATCCACAACAATTAAAATATATTTGAACCCGTTAGAATCTGGAAGGGGTCCTAGAACATCCGTATGCACTACATCGAACGGAACATCAGGTTTCGTCCACGACTCGATAGGTTGAGATGGTGCCCTAGGTACCTTCTTATGCACTAAGCAAACTAGGCAGTGTAAAATGTACTTCCTTACGAAGTGTCTCAGTCCGGGAAACCAGAAATGGCGTAATATCAAATCCGTGGTTTTATCCTATGTGGTCATGATCGTCGTGAAATACTCTTAGTAGACTAAGCCTATGACATGGTATTAGGTATGAAACACAACAATCGCGGTTCCTCACCAGTCGCAATATATTTATAGAACAAAATCTCATTTTTAATTATGTATCGCGTCCCATCTAACTGACCATCCCTTAATTTAGCAATCAGGTCTTGTATTTCTGTACCCGCGGTCTGAGCAGTCTTCGCCCAATTATTGGGGTTGCGAATATGAGAATCGGCTACTGGCTGTCGGCTCATAAAATCAGCATGTTGCATAAGACAGCCCTTCCTGTACTCTGATTTAAAATTAAAATCTTGCATGTAGACCCACCAGCGCGCCACCCTCGGCAATATATCTTTTTTGCGTTCTGTTAATTTTAATGAATTGCAGTCCGTCACTATTTTAAAATCGATGCCGATTAAATAATGACGGAAATGCTGCAGTGCGCGAACATTTGCAAAGGTCTCCAATTCATAACTATGGTACCGAGGTTCAGCGTCCTGTGTGGTTCTACTATAATAACCAACAACCCGTTTCCGCTTCCCCTCATGCTCCTGAAGGAGCATCGCACCGAACCCAGTGCTATTGGGTTTGGTTGGCATCGGTGTGAAGCTCAGTTGGCAACTTGGGGTCGAAGATTGCTAAGACCGGTTCGTTTGTCAGACATGAAATGATGTAATCCCGGGAGGCGTCCTGTTCACTACCCCATAAAAAAGGCTCACCCTTCTTTAGCAGCTTGGAAATACAAGCAGTCTTAGATGCATAGCCCGCGATATACCTACGAAAGTAGCCCGCGAGTCCCAAAAACTGCCTGACATCCTTAACGCTTGTGGGTTTTAGGGATTTGACTAGTGCCTCTACCTTACCGGGACTCGGCCGTACCTGACGCTGTAATTACAGCTGGCATTAAGCTATTTTGTCCGGATTCGCCTCTAAGCAAAAATTTACGCTACTCGCATTTTTATTTTGAATTTAGCGCTGCTTTGCAAAACATGCATCTACATCGTGCCCGCTCCGCTTACAGAACGTGCATTGCAAATTAGACCTACTCGGTAAGGAGCTAGAAGCGGGGGTATTAGTGAATGGAGTCTAGGTTATAAAGGAGTCATTTTTAAATTTCTTGGGACAGTTCCACTTCTTATGTTCCTTACTCCCACAAGTAAAACCTGTACCCTCAAACTTAGGTATATCGCGCTTACGTGGATAAGGCCTTATTTGAGACGAGCGAACAGAATTGTTACTGGGAGCATTCTTAATATTATAAATTTTGGGCTTAACGTAAGCAGACAAAAACTCGACCAAATCTTTTGATTGCAGTTTTGCATTCGTAGCCGCTGCCTTAACTTGGGGGTCGGTAATACCTCGTACTATAATGGCGGTTCTTAATTCATCAGACAGCCCCGTAACTATTTTTAGACGCAGTAATGACTTACGTGCATATTCCGCGTATGTTACATACTTGTGAAATTGGTTTTTAAAAAAAAAGAACACGACAATGGCACAAACTATATGATTTTAATTAATTACAAATTAAATAATTGAAATTATAGATAGCCCTAAGTATCGATCCCAAGAACGTCCGTCGCCTCCGAGAGCTCGAGCAAAAGTGAAGTCCCGCGCAAACGGCCCCTCTCTCATAGCAGTTTCCCGCCAAACCCGATGACAGGTCACGTGATCAGTCGTCACAGTAGCGGCTGTTATTTCTAAGAATATAAAGGATCGAGCAAAAGTGAAGTCCCGCGCAAACGGCCCCTCTCTCATAGCAGTTTCCCGCCAAACCCGATGACAGGTCACGTGATCAGTCGTCACAGTAGCGGCTGTTATTTCTAAGAATATAAAAATTATGGGATGATAGGGTTATTGTCTGGTGAAATGTATTCACCCCATCCCCTTGCCGAACAACTCCTGTAAGCGAAAAGTGAATAAGGTAGGTTAGTGCGTTCTGTGCACGAGCCCACGTCTCATGTATGTACCTTCCCTTTTTAAATAATTCTCGTGGAACAGGGTAAGCGAAAGGTGTATCGTAATGTTCTTCTGTCGGGAGATTTTGTTATTTTTCGGGAGTCGGGAGATCGGATTATATCTCTGGAGAATCCAGGCAATTTCCGAACATCTTGCAATCCAAATTACAGGATATGGAATCAGGAGTAAGAGTGAATGATAGTGCTTTTATAGCTTAGGTATGTACCAGTACATAGGAATATAGGCACTTTAAAAACCGGCAAAGGGCGAGTTGGACTCGCGCACGAAGAGTGCCGTACCATCTTTACAACATTAGACACTATACTACTATGGAGCAAAAAACAGCAATAAGTCAAATGTGTTCTATCTGGAGCCCCCCTTAAATATTTTATTCATTTATTTTTTAATAAATATGTATACAACTAAATATTCTGTAATAATAAATATAAATAAATAAATATTTCCAACACGCACACCTATTAGCCTAGCCCCAATGTAAGCACTATTAGGCTTGTGTTATGGGATACTAGGGTAACGGATAGAATACATATACTGTACATATATAAGTATATTTATATAGAAATACATATTAAACATCCATGACTGGAGTACAAATGCACGTATTCATCACACGAACATCTGCCCCCACCGGGATTCGAACCCGGGACCTCTCGAGCCGGCGACACCATGGCGTACAAACCATTCGGCCACGGAGGTCGTCAAATTATGTATTGAATATTTAGCCGTTTTAAAGACAGAAAATCAAATAAGGCAAAAAATCACGTTTGTTGTGTTCATTAAATCGCGTTTTATTCTATTTTTAGTATCTGTTGTTATAGAGGCAATAGAAATACATAATCTGTAAAAAAACAATTGTCTAGCTATCACGGTTCCTGCGATACAGCCTGGTAACAGGCAGACGGACAGACTAACAGTGAAGTTTTAGCAATAGGCTTCCGTTTTTACCCTTTATGTACGGAACCCCAAAAATACGCATTAAACCGCGGATAACACCGCGGGGCACAGCTAGTTATAAGTATGAAGTTTTCATTAAAATTGGCCATAATTGAAAAAAAATGAAAGTTTTATAGACAGAAAAAAAAACTTTCTAAAATTGTAGTGAATTATATTGCGAATAGCGCAATAATAAATGCTATGACACTTAACACCGCAACGTCCGGTTGCAAATAGTTCCGGTGTTACGCTTCATATAATGTACACTGTTAGGCTTACAACCGAGCAATTATTCCTATTTTATAATAACACTATCGGGATATCTTTTATACATATAATATAAAGGTAGGAAAGTCCAAACTGTACATTGAATATGATTGTTAAAGGATACTTGGGGTGT